CGAAGATGGAGTGTTGATGTGAGCAGCGGTCTGTTCCTCCTCTGCCACGGTGGAGTCCATACTGACAATTGATTGACTGCTCACTATTGGATTTTTGGATGTATTCACAAAAGACGGAGCCACTGCTAATTGCTGGGAGAAATAACCTTCCAGATAAATGGGTGAGCTCAATATCTTTCTAAAAACAGATTTACATCCTTGGAATATTTGAATCCTAACCTTCAAATCACACATATGAAACATTCTACACAAAAAGTGGCAAAACTTTTCAAAAATGCCTAATATTACAACAAAGTCCAAGGTAACTGTGGTCTCACTTGAGAGTGTCACACTGTAAACTGCATCCATGATATTATTGATCATGACTTGATTTCCCTGAAGGATCGTATTCACTACTGAAGTCTGATTGGGTGTTCGTTCTAAAATATTCTCTAATAAATCGATCATGTTGAAAATATTTGTTTTGATATTTTCAGAAGATTGAGGAACTCCTGCTTCAGCTGCTTTGATCTCTGAAAGAATGATGGAGAAGAACTTGGGCATTAAATAAGTTCCCAACGTGCTATATCCTAAATTCAGTCCCAAGCTATTCAACAAGTGGAAGATCATTTCATCAAATAAATAACTTTTCATTTTCTTCCTCAGCTTTAAAATTAAAGGATCCAATATATATTGGATGGTAATGATTACTCCAAAATCATTACACAGCTTTGCTAGAGTGGTGCAAATCTTTTTCGCAATTTGAGGATTGTTTTTACAATTATTGAATATTCCTTCAATAAAGAAGGGAAGCAATTGTTCGAGGAAGAGACGTTTCTGATCATTCGATGTAGGGTTAGTGATACCTTCAGAGTATGTGGTGGATGATGTCTGAGAGGCCTTGTTGTATGGTTTTTGAGTAATATCTGATAAAATCACATGATATATTAATGAGGAGAATGAATATGAATATAAATTCAATGGAAGTAACAAGAGGTCTTTTCTCAACTGTTTGTCAATTATGTTGTTGGAGGAAGAAGTTGGAGACTCCGTTGTGTGATGACTCTCAAGCTCATGTCTGTGAATTTCTTGTTCCTCTTCACAAGTACTGTTCAAGAGACTCTCAATTCTTTCATTTTCCATATAGAGCTGATAGAGACGTAATTTGAGGATCTTCTTTGCGGAGTCACACTCTTTGAATTTGGAAAGAAACTTTTCTCGAGAGTAACGAACCATACTTCTTAAGATTTCAATGCCATAGGACCATGGAAGGACATGAGCAAATTGATTTTGTGAACTCTTCTCAATTCGCTTCACAAAAAACATGTGAAGAATATGAGGAAGTAGCAAATCGAGAGCATCTGATGGTAAAGTCATGATACTTTCCGAAAATTCTTGTGAACTACCAGGTCGAATCTGTTTCAATACAAAGTTATATCTCTCTAGATGGCTCTGAAATAAATAGAGATTGGATAAAATCCAATGACAATACTTGAAGTATTCTGGAAAATATTTCTTGGATTGATAAATATAGAGAGCCTTCTTGCCTTTGGATAAATTCAAATCAATCAATTTTTCGACAATAGATCGAGCAGGTTGGCTTATTCGTTTTAAAGATGGTAGTTCTGCTTGTTGACCAGTAATGCCATTTTCTCGAATGTATCTTTCAAGAGATCTAGAATTGAAGAGTGGCTCAAAGATATAAAGACTTGCAAGTAGGCATCCCACTGCAAACATGTCATCGTTGAAAAGTTCTGCTTTTGAGAGAATTTGTGTTCGGTTCATTTTCTCAAGAATTGAAATGACATGATACGCTGAACTTGTAAAATATCTACTGCTAAATTTCACAGAGCATTCATACATTTGCATTCTTTCCATGATGTTTGCGCTGAGAATTTTTCTCGGTGGATGAGGTTCATGGAAGAGTTGAACAAATCCAAATCGAGATGGGTATAAATCATTGTTCTCTTTTCTTAACATCACGTTTTTTGCCTCAATTGCATGTTGCCCACTGAGTTTGTAACCAAAGATAAGATCAATCCAGTGATGTAAATTTTGACTCACATATTCACTCTCGAGAGCTGCCTTGTGCTTTTCAATGAAATCTTCAGGGGAGGAAGCCCACGAAGGAATCGCCAAGTCCTCCATGTCGCTATGGATCGAAGTAAATATTTTGGGATCAGTGAAAAATTCTGGAATACATTCATCAGGAGTCCAATGATACATTCTCGCAAGAGATGTTGGATATTCCTTTGGTTCATAATTTTGTCGAACATGTTTCTTTAAAGCACTGATGGGAACGCGTCTTGCCTTATAGATGAAATAGGTAATTTCAGAAAGAGGTTCAGTAACATGATGTGGATTGTCGGGCGATTGATAGGTGAAATCTAACATTTCATCTCCTTTGGTAAGTCTGAATTTTGTTTTTGTTAAATCTCTCCATTCAACGCGAGCATTTGGATCTGTTGGATCTACTTCAAAATCGATGACCCATGGAAGAACTGGATGATATTGATGATCACCGACTCTTCTTCCAGCTAATGCATTCAATTTCATCAAATAATCAAAATTTGATATTTTACCTTCTTGCCACAGAATGACAATATCTTTTCGCCTCGAACTTTCTGCACAAATGTTAATAGTATGAGGAATTGAAGTGTGAGGGGATTTTGTAATTTTTTGGTCATGTGAAATGTTCTGTGAAGGAGAGCCTATTTCGTTTGGAAATAGAACAGGCGAATGGAGAAAATCCTGTCCAATGAGAGAAATCCATAACATTTCATTCACTAGAATATTATTTGGAATTAACTTTCCGTGAGCAAAATTGTTTTTGTGGCAATACGAAATAATTTGCAATAATTGATAAAATAAAAATCTTCTCCGTATATCGTCTATTCATTATAAATACGGTTTGCAATTCATGATCAAGTTCATGCGAACAGTGTGGTTAGCATCAGTGGTTTAATTGTTCCTCATTGACAAGTAATGGGAATAGATCTTTACATACCTGTTTCGAGAAGAACCTTATTAAATTGTATTAATTCTTCCCAAGTATAATTGTACATTTCCTGAACGACGAACCATGCGCTCTTACTTTCATAAACGTCATACAGGAGTGGAATGTTTGCTTGCTAATGAAAACAAGGATGATATTATTTTTCACATTATAAATTTTCAAGTAATAATTATTTCAACATTGATTGTCCAAAGTTGTAGAGTACATGGTTACCCTTCATGAAGCATAACAATTCAATTCTACCCACCTTTGGAATAAAAGGTCCATCAAATAATACACATGTTTCTGTTAAATCCTCGTAATATGAAGCATCCAACAACTTTTGATTTAAATTGTAAAATTGACAAAGCGAATAATGTAAAGCAATACGAATGGAATGGTTGCTCTTTCCATAATCCCCAATTTGTTTTGGAATGACTCGTACCACGACATTTATTTCGTCATTCATGAGTGAAAGTGGTGGAGGAGATGTTGGTGACATGTTGGATGCTGAGCTCGGCGATGATGATGAAGAAAAAAGTATGTGGTGATGCTGCTGTTGTTGTTGTTGTGGGCATTGCTGTTAGTGATGATACGGATTGATTTAAATTATTGAGTGGTGGTGATGTTGTTGTTTTCGTCGATGTAGTCATGCTCGATAAATCCGAAAGCTCGGAGCTGTTGTGATTGAAATTATGATTTAAATTAACAGAAATTGATGATCCCAATAAATTACTAATTTCAGTACTAGTACTAGCGGTAGTAGATCCACTCATCATTCCAAAATTGCCATTATTCATACTACTCGTGGCATGACTCTTCATGAATGTTCGAGTTTTGTTAAATAATTTTCTTCCTTCCGTTTTCATTTTGCAACAAGCATAGGAACATTTTCGTGAATATTCGGGACTCAACATGTATTGATATTCAATGAGAGAAGGAGAGAGTTCCTCCTCGATGAGCTCTCTCACTTGGGTTGATGAAAGATTTCCCATTTCTCTCTCGGAAAGATTTTGTGTTTTAATAAAACGAAACAGAGAGCAATGATGATGGTGATGGAAAGAAATTTCACGTGAGGTGAAGCTTCCACAGTATGGACAGGTAGAAGAAGAATAAATGAGAAAAGAAGAAGAGAGGCGAATTTTTTGAGATCACCCGAGATGGTTCGAGTGTGTTTGCTTTGCAACATTTCATCACCACAGACCTGAAAAGGTTTTGATTTCGAGTGTCTGGATCATAAGGATCTGATCCCCTTCAAGCGTGTGAAAATCTTAAAGGCGAATCTTGTGTCATGTGAATAAAACTGTAAAATTCACTGTAGAGAGAAGGCATGTGCAAGTTACTTTTTCATCATTAGTATACTACTATTGAACTAATGTGATCACTTGAATTACATCAAGCAATATTGCACACAACAGCTTACTGTAAAGGAAGTTTACGCTTTTTGGTGTCCGAGTGTGGCTTGGCTCTCATACACAGGTAGACCCTCATTAGGTCCCAACCTGTTCATTTTCATGAAATTGAATGTCCTTCAAGTTCAAATTCGAACCTTCACTTCATTTTCGAAAATGAAGTATGCTGTGTTGCACGAATATTCTTCGCACGCAACCTCATCAACGGCACATTCGAGGTGGTTGCTCGACTCAAAAAAAATCTCATTGTAAAATATTACAACTACCAATCACCAGAGTGCTCATCAAGTTTGTTGAGTTATACGCGACCAAAAAGCTCGAAATATTGTCTTGTTCGTTGAAAAAAAAAACACCATCCTTCTCCCAACAACAATACACAAATTTTGTCCCTACCTTCCCCTTAAGCTGCGAAAATGGTGAAATTCAGTATTGATGAAATCCGTAACATCATGGACAAGCAACCACAGATTCGTAACATGTCTGTGATTGCTCACGTCGACCACGGTAAATCCACTTTGACCGATTCTCTCGTCGCTGAGGCAGGTATTATTGCTGCTGCTAGTGCTGGTCAACAACGTTTCATGGATACTCGTGAAGACGAACAAGAAAGATGTATTACCATCAAGTCTACTTCCATCTCCCTCTATTATAAGAAGCAACTTGAGTCTGGTGATAGTACTGAATATTTGATTAACTTGATCGATTGTCCAGGTCACGTCGACTTCTCATCTGAAGTCACTGCTGCTTTGCGTGTTACTGATGGTGCTTTGGTCGTTGTCGACTCTGTTGAAGGTGTCTGTGTTCAAACTGAAACTGTGTTGAGACAAGCTTTGCAAGAACGTATTAGACCAGTGTTGATGATGAACAAGTTGGACAGAGCCATGCTCGAACTTCAATTACAACCTGAAGATGCTTATGCTAACTTTAATAAGGCTATCGAGTCTGTGAACGTTGTCATTTCGACCTATAACGATGGTGGTTTTGGTGATCCACAAGTTTATCCTGAAAAGGGAACCGTTGCTTTTGGTTCTGGTTTGCACTGTTGGGGTTTCACTTTGAAGAAGTTTGCCAAGATGTACTCGAAGAAGTTTGGTGTTGCTGAAGAAAAGTTGATGAAGAAATTCTGGGGTGATAACTTTTATGATGCTGCTGGAAAGAAGTGGGTCAAGGACTCTCAAGGTGGTAAATTGCAAAGAGGTTTCTGTCAATTCGTTTTGGATCCAATCTACAAGGTCTTCCATGCCTGTATGAATGACGATAAGGCTGCTTTGGAAAAGGTCTTGCCTGCTTTGGGTATTACCTTGTCCAGTGACGATAAACAACAAAAGGATAAGAAGTTGATGAAGGTTGTCATGCAAAAGTGGTTGCCAGCTGCTGATGCCTTGTTGGAAATGATTGTCACTCACTTGCCATCACCAAAGGTTGCTCAAGCTTACAGATATGAACACTTGTACAATGGTCCATTGGATGACAAGTATTGTCAATCCGTCAAGAATTGCGATCCTAACGGCCCATTGATGATGTACGTTTCCAAGATGGTCCCAACCTCTGATAAGGGTAGATTCTTCGCTTTTGGACGTGTCTTCTCTGGTAAGATTAGAACTGGTCAAAAGGCTAGACTCATGGGTCCAAACTTTGAACATGGAAAGAACACTGACTTGTTCGAAGATAAGACCATCCAAAGAACTGTCGTTATGATGGGTCGTTATACTGAATCCGTCGATGATATTCCTTGCGGTAACGTTGCTGGTTTGGTCGGTGTCGATCAATTCCTTGTCAAGACTGGTACCATTACTGATGCCGAATGCTCAGATGCTTGTCCATTCAAGGATATGAAGTACTCTGTCTCACCTGTCGTCAGAGTTGCTGTTGAACCAAAGAACCAATCTGACTTGCCAAAGGTCATTGAAGGTATGAAGAGATTGGCCAAATCCGATCCTCTTGTCCAATGTACCATCAATGAAGAATCTGGCGAAAAGATTATTGCTGGTGCTGGTGAGTTGCACTTGGAAATTTGCTTGAAGGACTTGAGAGATGACTATTGTGGTGGTATTGAATTGAAGATTTCCGATCCAGTCGTTGCTTTCAGAGAAACTGTCACTGAAAAGGGAGCCTATGATACTTTGACCAAGTCTCCAAACAAGCACAATCGTTTGTACATGCATGCTGAACCATTGCCAGAAGAATTGCAAGAAGATATCGAACAAGGAAAGATTACTCCACAAGATGATATCAAGAAGAGATCCAAGATTTTGCAAGATACTTATGGATGGGATCAAGATCAAGCTAGAAAGATTTGGTCTTTCGGTCCTGATCAAAACGGACCAAACTTGATGGTCGATTGTACCAAGGCTGTTCAATACTTGAATGAAATTAAGGACTCAGTGAACTCTGGTTTCCAAATTGCTGCTAAGGAAGGTGCTTTGTGTTCTGAACCATGCAGAGGTATCAAGTACAACTTGACTGATGTCACTCTCCACACTGACGCTATTCACAGAGGTGCTGGTCAAATTCTCCACACTGCTCGTAGAGGTTGCCAAGCTGCTCAATGCAATGCTGCACCAAAGATTTTGGAACCAATCTTTTTGGTTGAAATCCAATGCCCAGACTCTGTGTTGGGTTCTGTTTACTCGGTCATGAACAAGAGAAGAGGTACCATTGACCAAGCCATTCAAAGACCAGGTACTCCATTGTACAACGTTAAGGCTTACTTGCCTGTCCTTGAATCTTTCAACTTTACCACCTTCTTGAGATCTGAAACTGGTGGTAAGGCCTTCCCACAATGTGTCTTCCACCACTGGCAAGTGGTTGGAGGTGATCCATGGGACAAGAATTCCAAGATTAGAGAGTTGGTTGTTGAAACTAGGAAACGTAAAGGTTTGAAGGAAGACGTTCCAACGGTCGAAGAATTCGCTGACAAGTTGTAATTCCATGCCAAAACAATTAAATACTTTTGTTCAGACTCATATTCTCAAATTGTATGTGCAGGATTTTTGAGCCTTCAAGAACTATATAGGCTTTAAAGATAGAGTTGTCGAAAACTGATCTCCAGTTTTTCATTATCATTTCCTAACAGAGAGAATTCGAAAGATACTATCAGGAGAAAGATGCTCCAGACATCTTCTCAAAAGTTGTGCCAATTCACCACCTCCACCCCAACCTCAACAACAACCACCTCAAACGACCTCTACTCATTCTCAATCATAACTGAGTGATCACCTCACCTTGACTCGTGCATTCTTGGGTGAAGTGAACTTTTTCAAAAACCTTTTGGGTTCCAACTTGCAACAACGTTTGCAGTCGCTTGTGTTGAGATATATTACTTTGCATTACTTACCTCCAAGGAAGATACTTCACCCTTACCTCCAAAAGAATATGGAGAATCTTTGGTCTTGCCAAAAAAAAGATTATTGTCTGGCTGAGGGAATGGCCTTTCTCAAATTCCCACATTTATTGACAAGCGCAAAGGAAAAGTTTGACTTTGGGTCAATTTGAAGGTTATGGTTTTGTCTCAACACCATCTTCTCCTGGTTATCACCAATTAACAGTTCAGACATGGAAACCTGCAGGTTCCATTGGCAACAATTTGCGAAGTAGATTTGTTGGAGGATCTTTCTTACGCTGCCATAACGAATGCATTCGATCAACATTTCCTCAAAAAGTTTGGATTTTGCACAGAGATTAGTGGTTCCATCTCGCTTAGTCTCAACATTCTTCCACCCTGAATCGGTCCCATGAATCTTTAGATGTCACTTGGAAGAATAGTTTCACTCAAACAGAATGTCTTGTTCTTTTATGTGAACGAGAAATTTTTTGTCTCAATAACGCCATAACAGAGATGGTCTCTGCAAGATATACTCGAAAACTAGATAATTGTGAATTAGAGCATTTTGAAGAGGATGGACCAAGGACATTCCTCAATACATAAGAACTTTCATTCCTCTTTGATCTAACGAAAGTTTATGAAATAAGGAAATCAACAACAATGGTTTGACCATGGAACACATGATAACAAACTGTTATGTTAAAATGTGAAAGTAAATGTTGCAAGAATGATTTCATTCGATGCAACAGCTCCTTATGCAGGGCCAATATTTTTCTTCGTCCTCACTTTCAAAAATGAAATTCAATAGAAATGTCAAGCGAAAACATTAAAAACGTTTCATTTTCGATCAATATAACATCTCAAAGGCTAAAACTTTATATTAGAGAGTTTTACGAGGAATTGTATATATGTATTGAGTCATACAATGACCAGAACGGTTTATTGGACATTTCACTTTTTCTGAGCTTGTCCATCGATAAGAGTAATTTCAAGAGATGAAGGACAGATCTTTGAAAGCGTCATTTTGGGATGTTTAACATCTCCAACTCAATTTACACGAGAGATTCTCATTGATTTTGTGCTTCTGTTCAATCAATTGTGCGACGTGAAAAGTGCGCTGTTCTGCTTTACGAAGTCTCTTTGACTGTTTCTGACTCTGAACTCATATTCAGATGCATTTGCAGTCATGATGATGGATTCAATTCATGCCAATTCTCTTCAACTTTCATGTAAATTGGTCGATGGAGACGGGGTTTAAATCCGTGCATGAGAGAAGTACACGCACATTCAAACAGTTATCTTCTAAGGTAAATCTGTTGTTCATGAGACCGAACTGACAAACGTCATTTTACCGAATCGTCATCAGACGGATCTGTGTTTGTATTTCATTGTCCTTTTCTCCACTTTTCACAAAACGAAACTAGGCTTCTCCTTTCTGATGTGAGAAGATTGGTTTGTGCTTTTACGAGCTGCTCTCCCTCACCATCAAACTTGAAAAAACTCGAACACATACAGTATGGAGTAATTCTCTGGAGAAGTGACGAAGACCACCATAATACGACAATTTGTATGGATCACACTCAAGGCACTCAAATTTAATCGATTCAACCATGAAACACCTTCATCCTCGAATTTGCTTGAGCCCATTCACCTCATCCGACGAATCGTCACATGTGGCAGAGGGTCTCTTACCAAACATGCATCACTACATCCAATATCATCTCTCCAAGTTATCCTTTCTCTCATTGGCATGCATTTGTTTATTGGTTCTTTTTCAAATCATGTGCATACTGAGTGCCATCTTTGTACTCACCCATCGAAGCAGGTTCTTTGTGGGGAACAAGTCAACCACTACTGAACAACCTATTAGAGATGTCAACAACAACAACAACAACATTCAAAGACAATTGCATTCCCTTGAAACATCTTCTTCTTCCATTCCTCAACAAGAATATCAACGTCCTCCATTGCCACTCCATCAACAAATTCCTCAGCACGATCGACACGATCATCATCCAAATGAACGTTGGAATGAACTTTCACAAGAGTTTCATTTCAACACGATGGAAACTCCAAAACCCTTGATCGATGTGCAAATTGAGGAATGTGTGAGGATGGAACAAGCTCAACAATTGTACATGGCCATGAATTGTTCAGAACCACCAGCTTTGGGAGAACGATTTTTGGAGATGGAAACAGCCTGGCACAAGTTTTCTCCATCTCTGGTCAATATATTCTCCCCCTATAAGAATCACAACAGATTGTTGCAGATCAAGACGTCTCTCTCTAGCATGAAACATGCAGAGAAGAAGAAGGATCAAATGTCTAGTTGGTCCACTGAATCCTTCACATCATCATCATCCTCTCCTTCGCATTCTCAAGTCATGAACACACCTGTCCTGAAAGAATCATCTTCTCAAAACACTGAACAACTTCTCTCTGGAACAACCCAAACACTGAAAGAAACGGAATTTAGGTCGTACTTTGATCAACATCGAGACACATTCAGGTTCATGAGTTATCAGTCACCTCTTAGTGAGGATCTTGATGATTGGAAGAATGCCATGAATGAACTCAATTTTGTGATGAATGCTGATCAATTCGACAATGTGAAAATGCAACATGAACATCATTTACCGATTTGGCTTCGAGTGTTTCAAAGAACGAAACCGCTCGATGAGGTCCTTCAAGCAGTGTGCCAAATTCATAACATTAACGAATCGATTCTCATTGTCACCATTGACGGTAGTGAATTTTATGATGTCATTCAAGAATTAACCAAAGTACAATGTGTGAAAACGAGAATATATTTTCATGCCTTCCACAGCAATTTGAAAACACTTCTTGACAGTTATGTTCCCCATTTATTTAACATTGAAATGATTTTCAAGAAATCTATCAAATTATTGACACATGCCATGTATGGTCTCTATTTAGCATTTGTGAAATATCAATATCCTTATGTGATCACGTTAGAAGATGACATCAAGCCGTTACCTGATTTTTACAATTATCATCGATCTTTGTATACACTCACTTTGGATGATTCCCCTCAAAATCCATACTACACCGTCTCTGCCTATGCACATGGAAGCTATCATCATTGTCGATACATTTCTGGATCTCTCTTCTCAGAAAAACTATTCAGTAAACAAGAAGAAGAGGAATATGAGAAAAGGGTGTTAAGAAAACAAGGACCAATCATTCAATGTCGAATGCAAGACACCGATCAATTAGTCCTCGAAGAATATCATGCGATTTGGGGAAGTGGAATTCCAAGACGAGTATTTCAACGATTGTGGCATGTTTGGATTGGTGCCACAGTGCTCAAACAGCATTCACAATACTTTTTAGGAGTATTATTGAGGGATTTAAGAAAACCACACGAGAGAACCATTACTCCGTGTTCGAATCGAATTACTCGATTGGCCAACATGGGTGAGAATGGAGAAGATGATGACAATACAAGAAGATACTGGACACTTTCGGCCCAACCTTGCACCAACTATCAGAACGAACCCAAAGTGAAATTTTGGAAATACCACGAAAGGCATTACCAAGTGTTGAACGTGGAATAAAAGAAAAATATTTTGAATGATTCGAACAATCTCTCCAAGTCCCTTGCATCATCTCTCTGGGCTGTCCTTCATAATTCATTGACGTTGTGAATCGCAGGGTGCATTGTGGTCTTTGCAAATTGTCAAACGTTTCATGAAAGCGACTGTTTTTGCTCCTTCCGATTACAAAAAAATGAAGAAAGACACAGTCGTTGCTTTTTCAAAGTCCACTGCTGATCCGACAACAACAACAATGAAGGATTCCACGCACACACACCATACAATCATGTTGTACAACGATGTACCAACCACAAGCACAACGACTACAACCACCACAACGCCATCACCACAACGAGCCTCTTCCAAACCGATTTTGATTCAGAACAAGATGAAAAAGAAATCATCACCAATGAATTCATCTTCACTTCCAAACAGTACCAGCAGTTTGAAAAATCATAAAATTGCGAAAAGTGATCAAATGATTAATTCCGATCATCCCACAACAAATTCAGAAAGCACAAATAATCCTGCCCACACTAACAAGAATATCAAGTACGGAAAGTCAAATACATACAGCGTTGCTAATACTCAACAATTTGTAGATTCTAGATCAAGAGCCAAGTCGTTCCAAAACTCACTTTCAACAAACAAGTCCATACCTCTCACTAACGAATCGAAACGTGGTAAGCCTGTTGACAACATGGTATTTTTAAACGAGCATTCCCTTCAAAATTCTCCATTAATCATTGAAGATGAAAAACAAAACCTAGTCACTCCCTCTCCAATTTCAAACACATCACCTAATTCATCTCCAATAGATCAAAAGATCTCCTCCCCTACCCAGAAAAAGCTTCAAAGACTGAAAAATAATCAATACAGTACAAGTGCACCAAGCTCATGCTTACATGCCAGCGCGTCCAGTGCTTGCAAAGATCAGGAATCACTCGACCTTGTATTAGATGACCTCTGTACGAGATTTATTATTAACTGCCCTTATATGCATGATTATGGACCCTCAGGTTTTGAGAGATTATTTTTCCAACTTGAAGAAGCATTTTGGTTTTATAGGTAAGTAGGTTTTTAAACTTGGTTGAGAACATGCATGACGAGTGGTTTTATAGTGACTTTTTCAGACAACAAAAGTCTCTACCAAAGTTTAAGTTTGTTGAATTTTGTGAAAAAATGTTGTCTAGACATTCACACATAGTAATAGATCTTCAACGTTTTACTCGTGACACATTTCCAAGTGCTGACAGCTCGATAGACTTGGATGTTAATACTCTGGTTCAAAAGTTCCTAAATTACAAAACATCTGTTCCAGTATACGGTTGTATCTTACTAAACGAGACAATGGACAAGGTTTTACTTGTTCAAGGATACAATACCAAATCTTGGACCTTTCCTAAAGGGAAGATCAATCAATATGAGCGTGAATCTCATTGCGCAGCTCGAGAAGTTTATGAAGAGTGCGGATATGATCTTGGTGACAAAATTTGTGAGTCTGATTTTATTGAGCTAGAACAAAACTATGAAAATAGTTTACCAGAGCACAAAGATCAATACAAACACTCAAATCCCTATACAAAACTATTTATTGTTACGGACATTCCTGAATCTACAAATTTTGGAACTAAAACTAGAAAAGAAATTTCGAAAATTCAGTGGTTTCAAATCGATTATTTAGTCGGAGTGTGCAATGCAAAGCATAGTACCTTGAGAACTTGGTTGGTAAAACCATTTTTACCAAAGCTTAAAGCATGGATCAAGAAAAAGAAAGCAACATCTTCTGGTTGCAATACTCCCACGAAAAAACAAGCAAGACAACGTAGTTTAACGGCTCCAAGCATTTCTGTATCTACCGAGAAAAAAGCTAACGAAATGAATGGAACTTCTCCATTGCTTTCTTTCGCATTCAACACGGAAGAGATTGTAGAAAACCACAAACATTAAATGTTCACAAAATATTTATCTACTTTTTGTCTGTACTTCCTTTAGATGGTGGTTTTTTTTCTTCACTTTTTTCGTCACCAAACAGTGAGGATGTCCTTGCAGATGCACTTTCCCATGACTTTTCAAATGTATTCGTGTCGACTTGATCTGTATGTACATCATTGGTTTATGGTCACAAATTTTAATTTGGACGATTTTTCTTAAACGAACATACCTCTCATTAACTCTAGTTTCATTTCATCTTCAGCTGAAATATTTTTGAAATTCCATTTGTATGCGGTTCGCTGCTGATGTGAAAAACCACTACTGTGAACTCCAGTTGGGGCATAATATTTACTGCTCAATTCTCCTCTATTCCATTTCTAAATATGAATGTATCAATTCACAAACAATTCATGTTGTTATGATTAAAATTACCTTAATAAACTTTTTGAAATATTTCATAATTTCTTCTGTATTTTGCAAATCATCTTCCACTCTCTTTTTCTTGTGATTCAACAGCCACAATTTAAATTCTTGATTTTTCTTGTAATAATCATCCATAGTCAATTTCTCTCTAGGTAATTGTTTAAAATTTGATTCTTCTTCCGATGCCGTGGACGTTTTAATTTCACTCTGCTGAGCATCGGTGCTCCTACTTGTACTACTGGACGATGGCATCGATGCCGATTCATGAATCTTTTGTTTTTTTGAAGATGGATCATCCTCATGTCGGCGCCTTTCGGAACGTTGAGAGGCTTGATCATCATGTTTATTAGCACTTGCGGTTGATCGAATGGTGAATGATGAAGAGACCTTTGATGGTTGTGATGATTGGTCATTGAACCGTTCTTGTGAATGTTTCTGATCAGTTTTCTTTTCATGAAGAGAAGGAGAAATAGGATCATCAAATTTACGATATTTCTTGTCTTGTTCGTTTTTGGGCATTTTTTTATTATTATATATGATATCTTTTATTGATTAAATGTGAATTGTTGTTGAACAAGAATGTGAAGAAGAATGTGAAGAAGAATGTGAAGAAGAATGTGAAGAAGAATGTGAAGAAGAATGTGAAGAGGTCTCCAAAGATAAAACAAAGACTTTGAGAATTCCTAAATCCTCTTCTTCTGACTGGATCAAGTGATGAAAGAATTCTTTTAATAACTCTTCAACACCTTCAAAAAAAATGTATCTCACTCTCAAGTCTGCGATCGATTATGTCAAAACTGGTCAAGCAGAAATCCTTCAGCCATTCATCAATGATTTATCTTCTTTTATTAATGAATGTAAACAGATCACTGGATATGAAACATTGTTATACAAGGCGTGTGACAGGGAGCATGTGGAAGTTGTCAAATTATTATTACAAGTGAAAGGAATTGATGTCAATAAGGGATTGGTAGGTAGTCATCATGAAGGTGAAATTAATTTTTATATGGAATGTTGTGGTCTCCTATTATTAGGATGTATGTTCGGAATTATTATTTTATATATTATATTAAATATTATCAATATTAATTATATTATTATTTAATTATATTATTATTTAATTATATTATTATTTAATTATATTATTATTTAATAATATTATTATATATATTATATTACTTGGAATATATTTGAAAATAAAAGGAAGTAAGTATTACACAAAAAATCATGTAGTAGAAGTGGTGGTGAATGATTCATCAATTTTCTTGAAGGGAGTAAGTCATCATCATTACCAACAACTATTGTTTCAAATCATTTAACATTTTCAAGTTGGTATGTGTTTTCAACTTTCAACTCATTGACCTCAAACTTTGAATCAGATCGTAAGTGTATGGACTATCACAATCATGAAATGAGTAATCATGTTCATTTAGTCGGTAAGTCATAAATTTTCACAACAACATGGTCACATCTCCAAAATTTGAATCGTATTTGTAGAATTCTCCTCTCTATATTGCTTGTAAACACAATAATATGGAAATTATTCATTTATTACTTTCTCATCCGAATATTATTGTTGACCATCGAGCATGTTCGGTTGCCATTAATGAACATGGAATTGATTTGGAAGCGCTTCAATTGAACATAAAGATGTCAAGCTCTGTATTGAATGATCCAGCCAATTCAAGAAAATTTATTTATGCCAAATTTTATAATTATCAACATTTAAGGCAAGTGCCACTTGTCAACAAGTCGGATCGTGACACATTATTTGAGGGTTCTACAACAAGTAATATTGTCGCCTTTACGCCTCTCGTTAAGCTTATGGCTCCTTCTTTCTATACAAAAGTTTTGACAAATAAGGAATTTATTGAATCACTCGATTTTACGGAAGAACAAATTGTACAAAATATCATTGATTCATTAATTTATGGAGGCCCAAATGATTTGTCTTCCATTACTAATACTCATACTACTAACGAAAAAACTGAAAATACTCTCTCACCCCTCGAATCTCTAAAATTGAAAATGAAAGTCGTTTTTATTTTAAATCAAGTGGAGGGGGATTTCAAGAAACTCAAAATCGAAGCAGTCAAATCAGTAATTTCACAAGTGAAATTTGAAAATATTTTACATGTTCTTGATTTGATTCACATCATGTTGCAAAGAGAGCTCAAATACTTCTTTGAACAAGATTCTACTACTAACTCGGAATCTTTGTGTCACAACACCAATAATAACAACACTCGATGTGCATTTAGAAAAATCAAAGAATATTGTCTCGACTATATTGGAACCAATGCCGGACATGATGAAGGTTATTCGATTTATGTGGAAAATGATGAACGAATGACTCAATATGCCATGAGTGTCATTAAGAGAAAAACGATCCAACCTCAGAGTATTAATGAAGCACCCTTCATGATTTCTAATACTCTATTTTTTGACTTGTATCATAGTGGAAACACCGATTTTGAAATCAAGTTGATGAGTGGAAAGACTGTCAAATGTCATAAAACAGTACTGAGCTCAAAAAATCCCTTCTTTGAATGTCTATTTTCTGGGAATTGGCTATTGGACCTTGAAGAAAAATATACAGACGAAATGGAATACATTGTTCAATATTGCTATGGATTTGTCGAACAACCATCTCAACACCTTGTTGTGCCTCTCATCAAGAAAGCTCATGAACATGATATGAAAGATCTTGTGGAAATACTCGTTCGAAAAGAATTGAGTCTTACATTGGACAATTTTGCATACGTGGTTGAAGAATTAAGTGCCTATTTGGAAGAACCAGCATTTGAGCAAGTAATATTCAAGTTTGCTTGTCAAAATAGAATGCTTTTGTACGGAAAAGTGGATCCTCAGGCTTTGCCTCCAAAATTGCAACTCTGTTTGGCATACGAACAGTAAACCGTGATTTGTCGGACTTTGTGCGAGGGCTCCACCAAACCTGCAGCCGCAGCGAATAGCCGAAAAGAATGGCTGTCAGCTCTTATTTAGAGCTTTTTGATAAAAATGGCTTTTTTGGTTATCTAAATAATTTTATTGCTTTTTCAAAATCCTTTATTGTGGTGGATTACCAGAACGCACACCAACCAATGTACATTTGGCATAAATTAGAATTGGATGTTGCTTGTTCGATCAGTAATTCGACTTGCTCTGAACAGTTAAGAGTTACTGGTTCCTCATCTGTTGGTTCTTCTTCATCTTCATCAACAAAATCTCTACCAATGAGCTTGCTTTCAATTCTATGACTAACTGTAAGGGCTCTTTGATTGAGTGCTTCAGGTTGTTTTAAAGATTCTTCTTCAGATTCATCACTCTGCAAAGTTCTACGAAGATTCTTTTCACGAACAGATCTTGAAGGATAATGCAAGCTGTCATGTTCAGTATAGGAAGAAACAGTTTGAGGTGATTCATTTTCTTGAGAATCGCCATTGCTCATGTCTTGTGGGATGTTATGGGTCATATTTTGCATGGATTGATTTTGTACATGATTATTTTCCTCTTCATTTTCTGTTTGAGTTTCCAATAAACGCCAATTAATCAAAGGATCATGAACGAATGCCTCTAACATGGCCATTACAGAATCTTTGTTGTCTCTCAACACTCTCATGACACTTTCGCAGGTCGATTTGAAGGTACCTTCAATTCCACATACTTCCATTGCATTAATGAGCATTCGAGTGAGTCTGAATGGCACTTTTTCTGGGAATTTGTCTCTGTGCATGGCTACTTCGAAACAATCACCAAAATCAATATGTACAATTTTACCAGTGGATTTCTCTAACATCAAATTGCTTGGATGTCTGTCACCAAGACCCAAAATATAACCAACAATAGACATGACAGCCAATGATCGAGTATAATTGGTTCTTCTTTCAAGCCATACTTCTGAGTTTCGACTCTTCAACCAAAGCACCTTGTACAAGTCTTGACCAGTGGTATTTTCGAGAGCATATTCGAAAACTTCAATCTTTTGCATGAGAGTTAAATTGTCATAATCAACAGCCATTTGTTGCATAAGTCTATGCTCAATGTTCAACAAGACATTTCGGCTGTCTCTGAACTCCTTAATGAGAGCATGTAATGTGTCACAGTTGTCAACCCATCCAATTAAACCAGCATTTGAGCTTAAAGGAATGACAGAGTATCTCTTAATACTCAAGTCTCTAGTTGAGGTTTCTGGATCATTTTTCAATAATGTATTTACAAGTCCAAACAATTGCATAACTCTTTCATCTTGACGCAAATCTTCATGTCCCTTCAACAAGAATTGATATTCATTACCATCACTACCAAAGATTTTAAGCTTTCTTGGTCTTTGCTTTGAAGAAATCACTCTAAGTTGACGGGCAAAGCTTGCAATTCTGATCACTTGTTGGCCACTCTTATATGTTCCAGGAATAGCCAACTCAAGATCGCTAGCTTCAAGGAGCTTTGGTGAAACAATTTGCAACTCCAACTTCATCATGTGTGGTAATTGTTTGTTAATTCTTCTAAAGACATGATAATACAAATCCCAAGCTTGAGAGAGTTCTTTTTCTTTTCTTGTCTTTTGATACTTTTTACAGTACTCCCAGGCATCTTGGAGATCTCTTCCAAAACCTTGAGTGAAAGCAATCTCACTGAGAGTCTCTGGGTTTTGAATCATCTCATGAAGCGGCTTGAGGGTGTTGAGCATGCCTGGAGTATCATGTTCTCCAAAGTAGAGTCTTGAGGCTTCTTCAAGTCCCTCATGCCACAACTCGTTCCACAAGATAGCTACTCTAATAAGTTCATGACTCACCATAAGGGCCTGCTCCACGAGAACTGGATTGTTTTGTCTCATAGAGTTCAACAATGATTCCGCAGCTTTCTTTCTTGACGATGACTGCGAGTAAGAACAGACAGTCAATGGATACACCAGCGCTTGAGGATGCACTTTGCCAACCTTTGAAAGGAGCTTATGAATCAATTTACGTACGGGACCAACATGTGAGTTGACACGAGCAATGATTTGTGGGATTACTTCAAGCCAAGTGTCAATACTGACTGTATTGAAACCATCCACCAAGGTCTTTTCAATTTCTTTCATGGCACCATGCTTGAACCACAATGTCAACAAACGTAAAATATCTTGTAAGCTTGAATTTCGGTCTGGACTGAGATTAATTGAGTTAAAGAATCCAGTCAAGGCGGAAATCAAATAAATGGTCATGGACTCCATACTTCTGGCAGTGCCTTGTTGTTTCTTTTCGACATGAGAAACAACTTCAGAGTTCAATAGTGCCCATTCATGCCAAGCCTTGTACCATTCCTTATCAAAATCTGTTGCTGCCTTGAAATGCGACAATATTTGAGGAAGTTTGCTCTCGTCTAAACCGCCATGTTGTCTATACAAAACCTTTTGCCATTGTCCCAATGTTAAACATGCCCTAGCCTTCAATTGATTGTCACATTGGATATTATATACAAATTGATTCATGAGTTCGAATGCCTTCATTTGTTTACCTTCTGCCCACATGTGTTTAAAGTATTCATAGGAAATCTTTGGATGTACATCTGGCGACACTAAAAGCTTCTCAGGTTCTTCGCTCAATATAATTCCATCAACCAATTTTTGTAGAATCTTCTCACTCATTTTGATCTTGTTTGATTTTCTACAAATAGAGGCAAACTTGAGCCATGTAGAGAGATCTTGTCTTTCAGGAATGACTAATTTTCGAACAGATAAGATGTTTTGCCAATGTTCCACATTTCTCTTACATCCTGCCAATCTGTTAATCCATATTTGATGGATGATTGATTTGGTTTCTTCATCTTCAGCTCTTTGATATCGAATGATTTCTTCCATTTCAGACAATTGCTGTACAGTAACAATAATATCATATGCTCTGTTATAACTTTCTCCAACCAGAGCTGCCAATTCTGTGTCAAGCACTTTACGTGTATTATCAATCAAAACTTGTGCATTGTGGTGATCCTTTTGGTGAATGGCTAAAATAGCTCTAAAGAAGGCACCTTCACTTGTATCCTCACTTAGAATATTCACATAATTTCTCATGCTTTCCCATTCACCTAAATTCCAAGCTGCAGCAGCTGCCATTGGTGCCATCTCTTCCTTAATGCTATCACTCACAGAATTCCATGAGTCTTGACATAATTTAAACAGTTTTTCCCATTCTCCAATTGCTTTGAGACATCTCATTTTGCCCAATGTCAAACTTTGATCATATGGATTTTGTTTTTGTTTGATACTGTAGGCGTCGTAGGCTTCTTTCCATCTTTGAAGTTTCTCATACCATGATTCTTTCAACTCAATACTGTGATTCTTTTGAGCATATTTCAAGATACCCATGGCAGCTTCATGTTGTTGAAGTTGATTGTTAATACTGATTAAATCTTCAATGAGAGCGCTTGGATTTTGTTGGAATTCAATTTCCTTATAGTGCAATGCTTTTGCATAACATTGACACTTTTCAGCAAGTGCACCCAAGGCACTAATAGCAATTGGTAGAGGATTTTCATCATGTTCCATAAATTCTGCCAAATTGAGTAATGTTTGAAGAACTTCAGGAGGTAAATCTGGTGATGAAAAAGCCATTTCAAGAGCACGAACCACTTCATTTTGTGCCTTATCATCCAATTCAGACCAACAGCTCACAAATCCTGCATTGAAAAGCTCTCGAGTGAGAGGATGATAAACTTGAGCAAGTGCAGAGCAGGATCTCAATGCAGGAGATGGAGACTCCTTCAACAACTCGACAGAGAAACCTCTGTTCCATTCAATCCAATCGTCTTTCGTTGCTCTTTGAGAAGCTTCCCATGCTTTTCTCAAACTGTTTTGATTGATCACCATTTTCTTGATCTCTGTGGAAGTATCTTCACCTGAGAGAGAATGTCCAGTCTCATCCTCGTCTTCCGGTATATTTGGAAGTGGTAATCCTTTGAGTAAATGGAAAATGAGTTCATTATATCTTTGATGAGTAATGTTATATTGCGTTAAGACTTTGGTCACCATTGGAATAAATATTGAGAAATCACTTCCTAATTGGTGAATAATATTACATAATGTATCCATTGCCTCTTGTCGAATCTCAGCATTCTGTACTTTCAGAACACGAGAAAGTGGATGAATAATTCTAGAGGAATATTCTGAAAAGTTCAAAATTCTACTCAATTTTCCAATACATCGGATGGCTTCTTTCTTTAAAACGGGTGTGGCAGTTGGAGCTTCAAAGAGTTTGACAACTGTTGGAACGACTAAATACAAATATTCTTCCAAATGTCGTCCAAAAACAATAAGCGCATGCAAAGCTTTCTTTGCTGGTTTAGGTTGTGGAGGAGTTTGAAGCACGCTCAAAAGTTGAGGAATTACATCAGGTAAATATGGTTTGAATTGCTCATTCAATGCTGTACATATCTCTTCCTCGAGAGAAATAATTTGTTCTTTAAAATCTGTATCCGATGAAGAGCTGTCCCAAAAATCATGAATGAGGACAAAAATTTCATCCAAATAATTTCTAATGTGTTGCTTTACAATGGACACGAGCAAACTCAATTGTTGGAATACTGTGTTTCGAATATTTGGCTCACAATTTCTAATCAAATTCAAGAATGGAGGCATGACTTGAGGTAAAAATGGTACACATTTCATATTCAAACTTGTGAAAATAAACATTACCGCTTGAATGGCAGAAAGATGATGCAATGATAATGACGGATCCGTTAAAATTCTAATGAGAGCATTGAAAGCAACGGTAGGATAATATTCTTCAGAAGAAGGGCTCAAACCTGGGATAATGTCACTGCTCGTGTCCATATTCTCTTTCGCAGACTCGAGTTGAACTTTGTGTTGATATGGATCAATCGCTCCGATGATACCCAACACTTTGATTATTTCTCTCCTTGTTGACCAATCTTCCTCAGATTTGAGGATTGCTAACAGTAAAGTCAATAAATTAGGATATTTGATGTAAGGAGTAATGACATAACCAGTGCTGGCCACAATTTGTCCAAGTGTCTTCACAGCCATTGCTCTCTTAACTGATGAGCTTTGATCTTGCAATGTTTCAATCACCGATGGTAGCAAATCATCAATAAAATCTGCAATATCCATTCCACCAACTTCTGCAAGCTTTCCGGTAGTATCCAAAACGCATGAAGAAACATTTGGATTATTGTCCTTAATGCGTTCCATGAGAACTTTAAGAACACTGGAGACATATGGCTTAATTAACCGAGGAGCTGCAACAATTAAATGTCCAAGCATTCTGGCACTCTCTTCCTTACTTCTAGAATCTTGGCTATATTCCAACTCTGTTAATAGTTGAAGGAGAGCTTTTCTCAGTGATGGTAATACGAATGCAGGATTTCTAATGCTCAATCTACCAATGATAGAAATTGCAACTTCTCGAATTTCGAATACTTCGTCATTTAAAGCAATAAATAAGGATCGTAAATTGTCTGATAGTGCCAAATAGTGATCGAATTTTGGCTCCAATGATGATAATACTGCATATCGAATGGTAAAATCGGTATCAGTAATACCAACAATTAACAGTTTAGCAAGAACATCTCCAACGACTGATCCAAAATGACCTTTAACAGGTGGTTTTCCTTGACTCACTAAAAGTCGACAACAAGTTTTTGCTGCTTCCTTTCTAATGGCTGGAATATCATCATCCAGATATTTCACAACGCAATCATGAACAAAATCTATTAAATTGTGACCCTTGACATTGAAACTGCCCAATGTTTTGAGAGCAAAAACAATGGTAGGGGTACTATAAAGTGAGGCTTCGATATGAGGAGCAAATTGTGTTGGAGGAGTCACAGGATTGAGAGTATTGAAGGGTTGTCTTGCCAAAATTTGAGAAATGGTATCCAAGACACGTTTTTGAATTGGTTGAAGCAAGGCTGGAATCTCCTTAGAAATAATTGTGAGAGATTGAATTAATGCTGGTGATAAACCGCCAGCAAACATGGAAGGAAGCAAATGCAAAATACGCACCGAGACAGTTTCTCCTACTGCTTTTGAAATGTCACTAATGCATGTCAAAGCCTCTTCACAGAAGTTTTTCTTCTTAATTTTCAGTCCATACTCTGTGATAACATTAAAAATATCGTCCACATATTTCTTGATAGGTTGGCCGACACGGGTGGTCAACTCACCCAATGCGAGGAATGATGGTTGTCTTTCAAATCCGTTCTTGATTGCATCCAGTATGAGATTGATGGACTTGTGAAGATATTTTTCATTGAAACGCTCACCATAGAATTTCGCCAAAACTGGAATCAGCTCAATGACAGCTCTTCTCACCATTCTATCTCTATGTTGTTGAAAATCAAGAATGGTTTTACAAATAGTGTCAAATTCATCCTTAAGTACATTTCCTGCAAATCCCAATAACTCGCCAATTGCTAACAAAGCTCCATGCACAACTTCTGTTTTTGTATTCTTGAAATTACTATTTGTTTGATTGTAAATATCTTGGTACCAAATGTTACGAAAGTTGGTCGGACGTTCAGAGATGAGTCCTAAAACAGCGTGCAAAGCCTGTACGGAACCAGTTCTAACACCAACATTTACATCAGTTAGACCATTCCATATGACACTCAGAAAACTTTGTACGTGTCCATAGAAAAGTGTTGGTGCATTTTCTGCCAATTCTTTCAGAACAAAAACTGCGGCATATCGCTTTCCGTCGTCATTCTTCTTATTGTTGTTATCGTCACCTTTGAGCCATTCCAATGCTCTTTTAATTTCGAATTCAACCCATTCAGCAGTCAGTGTTTTTGATGTTGATGAGTCACTTGCTCTTGCGAGTTTACCAAAAGTCTTGGCAACCATGAGAACAATTTGGGATTCGTTTGATTGATTGGCAAGAATATTTCTTAGGTATTGGGAAAATCGTGTTCTATTGATTTTTCTCTGATCATCATACTTAATGTCGATTAGAACGTCTATCAGTATGATGGCAGCTATACGGTCATTCAACTCTCTAGAACTCAATAACTCCCCAATCCATTTATATATGTCATCTATTAACTTGCTAAAGTTTTCTGCTGAATATTCACGGTATAATTTCTCTACCTATTGTTGATAATCAAGTGTAGATTGTTGTTGGAGTGATGATGATTAAATTTTAATGATGATGATGATGCGAAGGATATCGAAATAAATGATTGTTGTTGATGAAAGGCAAACATACCTGTGATTTGAAAAGCTCCACTCCCACGTTTCTCTGTTCCTCATTCCTGCTCGTAATATTTGTCTGTATCTCTATGAATTCGGGACTATTCATTGATGAAGAGGTATTCATTCCTATGTGGTTAAAGATAATTCGGTGTAGATACGATCATGTACAAAATTTGTCCTTGTAGCAACAACAACAAGTACAGAAAATATAAATTCTGTAATAAATTAAATTGAGAGAGTGGGAGATGATCCTGGTAATGGCCTTCGCTTTTTCGTGTTGGTGGCGTTACTCCGATATGGGAGAGCGAGGCTTTTTTTATAGAGTGTTGTAAAGTGTCAAAAATCTTCAGCTATGAACCACTTAAATTGACCTCAGCAAATCAATGTTGTGGAATTTATCATAAAGGTTTACTGTAGATCGTGCTTCCTGTTGTTGAAAGTCTTGGACATCCATTGGCCTTTGCTGTCAACAAGAGAAAACAAGAAAGCATGTCCGTCTTTGGTCGTCCTCTTAAATTCACTTGTCAAAACACAGTACACATACCGAAGCAAGGCATCACAAAACAAAAAACGGCCTTGCTTCCAGCTTCACTTTTATCTGCAACTGAAGCGCATCCAATTCAAACCCTGCACATCATCATCGCCTCCATCCAAATTACACTCTTTTTCAACATCAGAGATCCAAAAAAGAATTTCACAATCATCCTCTTTTGATTCTTAGTCATGAACAAAACGACAACAGCGAATTCTAAAGACATTGCCCAACAGTCTTCTCCTTCTGAAATGATTCAGAAACATCCCCAAGACATGAACGACCTATCTTCAAAGCCGCTGAAGAGACAAGAAGATGCCACCCATTATCATCCTCATCAAGAAGAGAACATCAAAAAAAACGTATTCCCCTCATCGACTCTGCTGACAAGACTTCTTTCGGACTTGTCATCAAGCGAAAATAGTCTTCATCATCACGAATCCAATCCTCTCCATTTGCCTCCTTCACTCATCAGCACCGAAACAAGTGAGAGTATTGGGAGTACCAACAACACCCTACAAGAGCCTAAAACGTTCGCCAACGAGTCCAAAATTTTGAATCGTGACAACATCTGCAACGACCATCACCAAACAATTACAACCACCACCACCTCTCATTCCTCCATATCAATACCTTGTAATAATAATACATCATCCAATAGTACTTGTGCTATTGAGATATCAACAACAACAACAACCTCATCTTCATCATCGGTCTCATCCGAAATAATGCTAAAAGCCTTTTTCAACCCAACCAAATCAAAGAATTCAACAAACTCAACTAACACGAATAATAATTCTCCAACAGTCATGTACGACACAACAACATCCTCCCAACGATTGGCATCTGGACTTGGACTCACGAAAAAAGAGACCTCTCAAGAAAATGTCGAATTTGATTTGTTATATGCAACAAAATTATCTTCTATATCTAATAGACATGGTTCTTCACGAAGACACAAGAAGAAATCATCATCAGTTTCTTCTGCAGAGAAAATTAACCAATTTTGTAAATTTTGTAAAATATCCGAGAGTCGTCTCGAAAAGAAAAACTTGACCACTTCGGTAAGAAAAGAAATTCCAAAATTGAAAACTTGCAGTTTGTGTCGAGAGGTGAGATATTGCTGCAAGGAACATCAAGTAGAGGATTGGCCTAATCATAAAATTGATTGCAATAGTGCAGTACGAGCACGTAATAATGGCATCTATAGCCGAACATTGAAAAAAGGTCATTCAAAATATAGACCTTGCGAAGGGGATGTGGTGTCCATTCACTATGTGGCTCGATTATTGAATGGAACCATTGTAGACAAGACTTATAAATCCATAGAGACGAACAAGTACTGCAGCATTTCTTATGACACGAGTGATGATGAAGACACTGAGAATGCGTTCGATGATGACGACAATGATCCATATATTGTTAAGCCTCCATCCAATGTTTATAATGATTTTGAGGGATGGCTTACACATGCCAACATTCAACAACGGAAAAGTTTTACTCAATTTGATGATGAACTTTCTATTGGGATTTCAGAAAGTGATTCAACAGAAGAAACGACAACAGATCTCACGAATGTGACAGCTTCATTCTCTGAGAACACTCATTCCTTCTTGTCTTTGGATAATGACCAACTATCACTCAGATCCACAACATCAACAGCTGCATCGAGTATGATTTCAACCGATTCGAATCCAGAAAGAAATTTTGAACAGCAAGTCATCACTGAAGATGATGAAGCTCAAGACAATTGGTCTGACAGTTCATCAGGCAGAGCAGGAGGTGGAACTTCTTCATCAACCTCGAACGCTACAATCATTTTTGATTCTCTGCAGAAAGATGTTGAGGTCGTTCCTGATCCTCTTCAATTCAAAATTGGAAAAGGTCAAGTACCATCAGGTGTGGAAAAGGCAGTCAAACAAATGTCACTGGGAGAACGATGTTATTTAGTTGTGGCCCCATCGAAAGAATCAAAAAGAGATGTCATTTCAAAGAGGATGAAAAATGCAAATGGATACACCATTGTTTATGAAATCATGCTTGTGCATATCCTTAGAAAGAGACAACACAATGAATTTGATTTTGAAACTACCAATAATGAAAATATGCAGAAGACCATGGACTTGATTCGATTAGAAGAATTTATGAAAGATGATGATTCTTATCAGAGTTGCTATTATGAACCTTTTAGACCCTTCTTAGCCAATGTATCTTCGTTGTCTGCACAATTGTATTAATTGTAATTTATTGATACTAATTTTTATTAATTATTGCTATTAAATTATTAAATATTTTTACCCGCCATCTGTCAAAAAATGTCTTTTCGTCAAATCACTGGCACAGATTCTCTTTTTTTTCAACTTCATCATCTCAACAAATCTTCTTCGAGTCACAACAGACACATTCATGAAGATTCATCCCTTCTCGAACACGTGGAACGCTTTCAATTTGCTCTCTTTTCAAACATTCGCACAGAAGGTCTTCGAGAACGTGATCCTCTCGTTCGGGAATACGAATTGACTCTCGAAAGAAGATTTCAACAGCAACAACAATTAAATTCCATGTATCGGTCGTCAGCCACTTTGAGTCCATCTCTTTCGTCGAATGCACCATGTGGAGAAGAACACGAAGATGATGACGATGATGATCATGTCATGTTATCAGATGAGCCAGAATTGGAAGGTTCGGAAGTCACACTGGACTCGGTGAGTCGAGGATTGAATTTTGATTTAAATGAAGGATATATCAATGAAGAGGACATGATGGCATCTGGTGTGGTTTATGGAGAGGATGATGAGCAAGCCGTTGTGTATGAAGGTTGAGATGTTACTCAAGGTGATCACCTCCAAAGACGAATATTCAAGGAAGTTCCATTAATTTTCAGAATTAAAAATAGGCTAATTCATTCCCTCGCTGAAACGGAATTGATCAAAGAAGAGAGAGAATGGCTCTTCATGATCATACCCAGACAAAACATCTTCACTCCCAAGACTCAACCAAATAAAAAACAGAAGTTACTCGTTGGAACAACAAACAGAAAATGATAAACTCTTTTAATCAACAACAACAACAACAACAACCACTCACGCAACTGAAAGGAGAAACCATCACGAAAAGCAACAGTCCGATCTGTGTGAGAGCCATGAAATATTCGCCCACATTGATCGTGGCAGATTCTTCGACCAGTAATATTACCTTGTATGATACGATGAATCGCTGTGTTCGGGAAACATTTACAGTAACTACGGGATGTGTCAAGGGTAAGTAAGGAGGAGAATCCAAATATCAATTCAACTTCTCATTTTCTTGTTGAATTCTTATGAATGGATGAAAATGTACTATTGATACAGGTGTTGGTGTGGATCCATCCAATGATAGTTTTTACATCACTACTGGAAAATTACTAGTGAAATATGATTCGGAAGGTGTGTATCTTGGAAAATATGGAAAGAATTTAGATTTGAAGAATCCTTATGGAGTTGCTGTGGATGATGCTGGAAATTGTTATATTGCTGATCTTGATGGGAAAATTGTGGTCATGTCCAATGAGGGACTGCTTGTGAGAACAATTGAGATGGAGAAGCCCTACGATATTTGTTTTGAGCCTGAATTCAAATATATGGTCGTTTCAGATCAAAAGAAAGATGTCATTAGGTTGATAACAAAGAATGGAGAGAAGGTGAAAAAAATTGGATGTAAGGGAAATGCAAAAGGACAATTCAATTCACCAAGTGGTGTTTTTGTGGATGGTTTTGGGCAAATATTTGTGGTAGACAGTTCCAATCACCGAATTCAAATGTTCGACAAGACTGGAAAGTTTTTGGCTGCCATAGGAACGAGAGGTAAAAATGATGATGAACTGGAATTTCCTAGATCTGTTTGTGTTGACTATTTGGGAGTGATGTATGCTGCAGACACATCAAACAACAGAGTCCAATCTTTCAAAAGCTCTGTATGATATTGCTAAATACTTAATTAGTGAAATTCAAATATTTTTTTTAAGCAGAGTTGTTTATTTACTCCAACAAGAATAGAGTTGTTTGCTTGTGTGATACAAAATTAAGGTCTTGGTCAATTGAGGCTGCTATTATTGCTCTAATTTAGAAAGAAAAGCCAAAAGTGACGTGTAACCTTCTCCAAGCTTTAGCTCTCTTCCAGGATTCTCCTTAGAGGAAATGGTTTTGTTTTCACTCTCTTGCTCTGGGGTGGTAACGCCACAAAAAGTACATAACTCCTTGAGCATGTTGGTCATGGCTGGTGTTGGGACAACCTCATCCTGTGCATTGTACTTTGAAGAGTTACGACATTGGGGATAAATCACTTGCTGAACAAAATCAATGACCAGTTCATCACCAGAATGGACCTTCACTTCGACTTTTGACCATTTCGTGTCATATTCTTCACGGTCTCTTCGGTTATCTGTGACCGTGCAATAGTATTTGCCTCTTTTGTTGGGTTCTTCAAATGAGAGGGCCATCACAGATTTAAGGAAATCATTGAGGTTGGAACGAATGGTTTTTAGAGGTGCCATTTTGTTTCCTGTTCATGCATGATACGCGTGTTTTTTCAACATGTGTGAAAGAGTTACCACAAATATATGAATAAAAAACATGAATTCACAAATTCTCTCAATCAGCATTTTGATTAAGATTGACACTACTCACCACCAATCATTCCGTCCCAATTATGGAGCGATCCCTTCTTAAGAGATGGCTTCTTGTTGGCCTCAAATGTTAAGTTCCATTTCAAAATAAATTGGTCGCTATTACCACCAGGAAACCGACTGCTTTGAAACAGCACAGATCACCAATTTGAATACTTTCAATTTGTCAAACACTCAAATTCACTTACTCCAAAGCTTTGAAGAAAATTTCAATGTTCAAACTCTGACGACCCTTTCTGTACGACTTTACAAAAGCACCATTCATCATGGTTTCTCCTGCCATCAAATACATGGAAATTCTTGGATCCACTCTCTTTGTTCGCATCACCTTCTCAAATTCATCATAATCCAACAATCGGGTCAAACAAGAAGAAAACATTCTCTGAACATGTCTACTTAGAAGAGGGAGTGTTCGGAATGAAGAGGCATCCAAGAATTGAATCAACATATAGAACTCGTCTTCGTTCAATTTTTCCAACCATGAAAGAGGCTGGTTCGGTTCTTCCTCTTCATCGTGATTGACTTTCTTGGTTTGTTTTTTGTTGTTGGACGTTGATGATGAACTCTTTTCAGACGTTTGTTTTCTCTTTGGGGCCATTTCGTGGGTGTTTCTTCTTTTTCTCAATAAGGTGGTGTGTGATGAAGAGAAGAGGCTTTTTTTGCAATAAATTTATTTCCACCAACACCTTGAATCGTTCCTTGATGTTCGAGTCATGTTTGCCCCTTTCAAGAGAGGATGAAGCCGATTGTTTTCCACAGTTTTGTTCTTCTTACCTTGCTGATTTTCCCATTATCAAGATGTTGTGCTTCATTTGATGATCAAAAATAGTAAAAAATGTTCAAACCAATGATGATGGTAGGCTCTCAGAGTCTTCCTCTCATCCGAACCATGACTCGGACGGGCAGGATTTTCAGCACTCTGCAAAATCATCATTCATCAGCAACAACATCATCAGCTTTGCATATGGGAGGGCTCACCAACAAAATTAATGTTGGCGTAATTTCCATGATGATTATGAACCATGAACAGATGAGAGGAATTAAAGCAAATCCGAATGCTGGCAAGAGTCAAAAGGGACAATCAGTAAAAACTCGCCAAAAGCCTAGTGTTACACATTTGGAGGAAATAGGAGAGCCCTACGTTCCTGAACTTTATAAAACTCAAAATCCTCCATCAGGAATGAAGGAATCAATGGCTACGATATGGTTTCAATTCAGAAAGTATTTGAGTAAGCTGAGATGCTTTTTCCGAATTTACAGAAGATTAGGAAAAGAATTCGGTGTGAGCGGAAATGCTAATTTCCAACAACAAGTCACTGAATTTTTCCACGAATACAAGAAGGCAATTGTTAGTAATGACCTTAGGAAATTGAACAAGGTTTGCACAACTCGAGTTTTGTCACAGCAAAAAAAGGACTCTAAGCACCATAGCGAAGAAAAACACCATATCGAAATTTCGGAACTCGAGAAACCCAAGGTCGTTCACTCATACATATTGGACTTACCTGGAAATAGAGAAATTGCACAAGTCGTTGTGAAAATGAAGGTTAATGAAAAGTTATACAGCAAGCAAGACCTTCCTGGTGGTAAACATCAATTGAATCTTGAAAATGATCAAGACAATACGTATTATGTGGTATTTGAAAAGCCTCTTGATGACTTCTCAAAACAATGGATGATTGCAGGATTTATCGATCCATCCTCCAAATATTTTGAGCCAACAGTGAAAGAGGTTATGTATGGAACAACGATGGGTAGTAATGAATAATGAAGATGTGCATTCTCACCAGGACGAAGAAATAATTTTGTTTAAATTAAAACCCTAAGGGTATTGCTTTTTTACAAGTACTTGATAGCAAAGAAATAAATTCCATTTTAAAATTGGGATGTTTTTGAATTCATGAGGTGACAATCCTGACATACTGTTTTCAAAGCAAAATATTATTGTTCAATGCCATACTTTTCCATTTCTTCAAGTCTTTTTTCACGGAGTTCTTTTGCTTTTTCTCTTTGGCTTGGACTCATGGCAACCAATGTAGCAGGATGAATAGAAAGGGTTGGTTGTAAGAAATGTTTATAGAAAGCCCACAAAGCAAGTGCCCAACCAACAAGATAAGCAGTACTCAAAAGAACATCTTTTGTTGATAGTGTGGGGTAGGTATCTTTATAGGCCCATTGTTTTTGTCCGGCACCATCTTCCCACCAAACATCATATGTATCATCAAATCCAGACGTGTTGATATTGTATTCTTGTGGGCCTTGATATGGTAATTCATATTCGGGTTGCTTTCTACTCAAATCAACGGTTGTACGTTTCACGTGTCCCGGAGTAGTTTCAAGAGGGGAACGATCGGAACTGCTTGAAACAAAACGTTTTTGAATAGTTGTTGTTAAAAGTGATGAAGGAGATGAAACTTTCTTTTGATGCAAGAGAGCGTGCAAGAGTCGTCTTTGATTCATTTTTTCTAAAAATTATTTACAAATTTTTTGTAAAACAACCATCTTGCTCGCATTCTTTTATCGTCCATTCATTCCCCATTGATTACTGAGCTCTATTGTGATTAATAATTTCTTTTGAAAGAAGATGATGATGCGGAGCTTGAGCGTCTTCTTTGAAATTCGGTGATCGAATTTTTGAACTGAAAAAAATGTCTGGCTTGCTTTCTGTCTTGCTTTCATACCTTTGGTATGGCTTTATGTGGTACGTAGCGATGATTACGAAATAGGCAACAAGGCTCATGATGAATCATATGAATATATATTGATATTGTTTGAACGAATGGATACAACTATATTTCGTGATGATATCATCAAATTCCGAACTCGCTCTATCTTGATGAAACCCTCCACTATTGTTGAACTCTATCATTTCCGTTAATATAAATGTTTTCACAACATTGGTTAGGGTTACTGGTGTTATTATGGCTGCCATGATCTTCTTCAAGGTCGTTTTTATCCTTTACTGCAAGTACTTCCCAAATATAAATCTCAAGAAGAGATACAAAACCGAATGGGCTTTGGTCACTGGTGGTTCTTCGGGAATCGGTGCTGCCTTGGTTGAAAAGTTATTGAAGGACCAACAAATGAACGTTGTTATTGTTGCATTAGAGGACAAGTTGTTGGCAGATTTCACTAAAAGAATGCAAGAAACTTACAAGGATAGAAAGGTTGTTGCTATTGGTGTTGACTTGAGCAACGATAACCCAGAGAATGGATACATGAAGACAATCATTGAAAAGACAAAGGATATTGATATTGGTTGCGTTTTCTGTAATGCTGGATTCTTTAGATTGGCAGGCTTCGATAAGGTCAGAATTGAAGATCACATGAAGCAAATTGAATGGTAAGTGAATATTCACAGTTGATTGGTGGCCAATCATGTGTTTTAATCCTAATCTGTGCTTTGAATTTCTAATTTTCTTTTAATTTGATTTGAACAGTAACACTCTTTCCTATGTCAAGATTACCCACCACTTCTTCTGCAAGTTCAAGCAACAAAAGGATAAGAAGCTCATTGCTATGACCTGTAGCTCAGTTTCCTACTTCCCAGCTCCATTCTCAGTCATGTATGGTGCCACTAAATCATTCTTGAACAGTTTTGCCAGCTCATTGGCCATTGAGGGTCTTGCTAACAATATTGATATTTTAGCTTTCAATCCTCAATACACTCGCTCTAATTTGTATGCCAATTCTCCAAAGCTCAGCGTTCTAGATTTCATGGCTTTGATTGGATCTGACTGTGACGATGTGGCTCAAGAAATGCTTAACAGTGTTGGCAAGGTTAATTACAGAGATCAAGGATTGTATTCCATCTTTATGAAAATTTTCGGTGGTATCGTTTTTGACATGAATTGGCTTTTCCCAATGATGGCTATGGGTGTTTCTATGGCTCCTGAATTCAAGAAATTGAACTAAGTAAATTATTAGATTTGAATGTCGCACTTGATTTTCGAGTTGTTAAAAGGTATGAAAAAAATGTCACCACACGGAATCGTTTCCAAACCAATCATTATTCCTGTTATTTCGAATATTGCCAACTTTTATCAATCGCTTCAGGAGGCTCTCTCATACGAAATTCTCAATTCAATGAAAATTCCCATTCAATTTCTCTCATGGCCCTCGAATGAATGTCCTTCCAAGTTGTTGTTATCTTCTGAATCTTCCACACCAAATTATCCAATCATCATCTCCGATTGCATACTTGATGACAGAAGAATTTTTCAAGACTCTCTATGAACAATTAAAAGATGAATCAAATGATCGACATGTGAAATGGATTATGTGTACCTTTGCAGGTGTTAATTTAATTTTTGACACTATTCGAAAATTGGAGTTTAGTGAACATTTATTGGAATTATTGGAAAAACGAAATGTAAAACTAACGAAAATTGGAAAATTCGGGTTATTGATGTATGAATATTTACTTCAGCACATGCTCAATGATTTACGCTTCTATGATAAGGTTTTAGAGCATCAAGCTCAAAAAGTGTGGATTGGAAAAACAGCATTTCTTCACAAAACATTAAATCAAACAAAAATTGGATTGATGGGTTTTGGAAATATTGGAAAATATGTTTCTCAACAATTGAAGCAATCATTTCCAAAAATTACCATTCACGTCTATCGAAATCAAAAATGTAACACAAAAACTGAACATTCTATGCAAGAAGAAGAAGGAGATGCTGACAGCCACATGGCAACAGTTGACAAATTCTTTTATGGTCCTGGAGAATTGAAAGATTTTCTCTCTTCCACGGATTTTGATTTCATCATTAGCATTTTGCCTTCGACACCACAAACTCGTAAATTACTCGATCATGAAATGTTACAACACTTAACCACACGATCTCACACTTGCTTTATTAATGTAGGAAGAGGAGATTTAATTTCAGAATGTAGTGTCCTTTCAGCCCTTGATCACAAGTACATTCGAAAGGCAATTTTAGATGTATTTGAGGTCGAACCCTTACCAAACACTAGTGTATTTTGGGAACGAAAGGATGTCATTGTGACACCTCATATTTCTGCTCTTTCCATTCCCAGTGTATTGGTCGAATCATTTTTCGAGAATTTTCTTCTCATCCATGTGCATCATAAGGATCATGATGCTGTAACTTTGGATTTTAACATGTTAAAGTATTGTTGTGATTGGAAAAAGGGATATTAAAGAAAACAAATGATTCCATAACCGGATATTACAGTGTTCCATCGAGTCCTCTATAGAGTACCTGAGCCTTTCAGCCAAGTTCGCAAATCTTCATCTGTGATGTTGATGGGGTACACAATGATCCTGTGGATGGAAGAAACTTTTTTTCAAAAAAAAATCAACAGTTACACTGTCGGAGTGGAAGAATTTTTTTTCTCGTCCGCTCATCGATCACTCTGTATCTCCGTTACGGGAATTGATCCCTATCATCGATAGTTTTCATCATCACCACAAAGATCATTGAACATTGTGTATATCTGCAATTATTGGTTCAGAGAGAAATAGCCTAATTCATTTTGAACAGAATTCCCGAAAGAGTATTTGCATTGATTTGAATTATTTTGAAATAGTAGAGATATCGTGTAAACATGATCCCGATTGATTTATTGGTGTTTAGACCTCCTAACCCACCATCATATTCTCCTCCCGAAAATTCAATAGAAAACCAGATCAATACGGATTTGAAATCTACATTTTACATTACACCATCGTTCCTGAATACCACAAAACCCTTCAAATACTTTCTCAACGACGGAAATGAGGAATCACAGAAATTAAGTGCGTTCTTTTGTGAATACCCAGGAGCTCGTGCCACAATATTATACTCGCACGGTAACGCAGAAGATATAGGCCAACTACGAAAATGGATGACCTATTTGAGCAAAATGCTGAAATGTAACACCATGACATATGATTACCAAGGATATGGTTGCTCGAATAATACACCAACAGAAAAGCATTTCTTCTCAGGTAAGCAGAATCGGCCGGGCTTTAGGAATATTTCTCACATTGAACTCTCATTTGTCATTAATTTTAAGACATTCGATTGACATTCAAGTTTTTAACGGACGTTTTAAACATACCTTCTGAAGAAATAATAATATATGGCCGATCTATTGGATCAGGTCCAACTACCGATTTACTGAAAGAATGTGTCGAAAATAACATTCAAATTAAGGGAGCAATATTTCAATCACCTTTGCTAAGCGCCGTGAAAACAAGATTTAATTTATTTACCGTTCCAGATTTCTTCATAAGTAAGTAGTTTATTGTAAATCTAATGTTGCTTGAAAACATTTACTTTTTCATCTTCATTTCAAAAGGTGACATGATGAAAAATGAAGAAAAGATGGCCTCAATTAATCATTTGAGTTTTTTGAAGAAAATACCTATTCTCATATTTCACGGAAAGAAGGATGTTGTGGTTCCGTACGACCACGGATTGACACTATTTCGAATCGCTGTAAACAAATTTCAGGCAAATGAGAAATCGTGTGCTCGTTTTATATCATTACCAGATGCAGGTCACAATAATTGTGAAAATCTCTATTTAGAAGATATGATCTATGAAATCAAGAAATTTATTTTACATCGAAATGAGGAAGTGTTATCGTCAGAAGGAGCATATTTTGAAAAGAAATCAATCATGATTCAAGATGATTCAACGAAATGAGTTTCAAATTGATCATAAAACCAAGTAAGGTTATTATGATAAAGATAGCAAAAAAATATCATTATTTATTTTTGGTCGTTTGTGGCAGCTGGCGTTGTTATATTTTCGAGAGCATTATCAATGGCAATGCTTTCTGCTTCTTCTGTAGAAGTTCGCGAACAACCTTTTGCGAGCTCAATTATTTGATTGTCGGATGAAACTTGAATGGTGCAGGTAAATAATTTCAAACCATCAATGTCGACCGTGTTTGGAGAATAGGTGGGTGATACTTTGTACATCAATTGAACACGATGTTGAAGATCACTCTTCTTTGGTACTTGGACGTTGTAAGGAGAAATGTTACACTCTTCAAAAGCAGCAATGACTGTTCTCTTGAAAAACTTATCAACACTTATATCATGCCTTGAAAGAAAATGAATCGATGCCAAGTCAGTACTGTTTTCCAGCTCTTCCAAATGCTGTTGTGACAAAAACTCCTTTTCTAAATCATATTTAAAAAGTCGATAATTATTGTCAATATACATTGCTCCGAGAATACCAAGAAATACTTCGTAGGCTACTTCAGTGGGATCCTCAATGGGGGCTCGTCTAATACTCAATCGATCGAATCTGAACTTGTGAAAGATTTTTTGGAAAACCTCATCGTTTTTACCGATCATTCTGTGTGTGACGAGGGTCAAAGTTTTTGGCTGAGCTTCTGTGAATCTCTTATAAACAAATTCTACCACAAGGAATTTCAACAAGGCTGCTCCCAACATTTTCATTTGTTCGCTGTTGTAAAGATGACTCACAGGTAATTGTGTGTGTTTTTTCATGCCTCGTTTTCGCATGAAATCTAAAACCTTCTGCTCTGGACAGCCAGAAAGCTCAATAAATGTTTCATTGAACGAGTGATGAATAAGTGCTTCTTGCAAAAGGTCAATGTTTTTAAAGGTATGCCCAACCACGTCCTGTGCCTCTTGTAAAATGCTCATGTCAATCAGATTCGAGTAGTCCTTGTCACGAGTCCACATTTTTCCATTTTCACACACATCAGGAATCCAAGAATCAAATTTTCTAAAAATTTTGGTATTTTCAAAGCCTGGAGGAACAATTGTTTGTTCTGCTAATTGCATTGCTTTCTCCAATCCTTTGGAGAGAAAGTATCCACCAATGATGGCTTCGAAAACATCTGAAGGCGACTTCTTTGAGTGGTTTTCAGAGCTATTTAACATGAACGGTGGAATGGAAAGCTTTTCAGTGGCTATTCGACCAATATTTTGGTTTCCAATAATCACCATGTTCGCAAATACCCAATCACCTTTTTTTGTGGTATTCGTTCGAAAATTTCTAACTATATAAGTGATTGAGGCAAGATTAACCACTGCATCTCCCATAAATTCAAGTCTTTCGTGACTGTTTCTCTTCATGGTGTTGGCATGACAATAAGATGGAAGAGTGAAAGCCATTCGCAATAGCACAGGATCTTCTGAAAATGAAATATTGAGAGCACTTTCAATGTTCTTTTGTAGTTGGTCATAATGGTCTAATTGATTCTCTAATTTTTCAAGAACCTTCTCTTGGGCAGCAAGTTGAGATTGTAAACTCACATGTGGTTGATTTGTGACAATTTCTCGGACTGCATCGAGTTTGAAAATTACCTTAAACAGCGATCCTTGTAAGGAGGGCATGAAATGATCTTTCGGTGAGGTTCTTGAAAGAAATGGATAAAGCATTAAATCATTTCTCTTTAAATTTGTTGAGAGCTGACCATCGCTGATGAGTAACTTCAAGTAATTTCTAATTTCTTGCAATTCACACCATGTGCTGTCATCCATCATAAACACTCCTAATTTGTTAAGCTTACACGACACATGAAACGATCCATAAGATGCCACAATAAATTCTGGAATTTTTCTCGACAACATTTGATTTGGAATGGGCTTTTCACATGTAAAATGAAAGACGAATAACTTTTCGAGTGCATACATTTCATCATGACGATCCAAGAGTAGAATCTTCTCTTCGGATTTACATTGAAGAAATCCATTGGATTGTTTGGAATATTCCAACCATCCGTGACTTTTCTTTTGAAAGACATAATCCTTGATCGTTTCATTGTTGTTGGCATGTGACTGTTGTACGGTTGTGAATTTACTCTCTCTAAATACAAACTCATAGACCGTGACAAAGGAATAGGAGGACAATGATGTGCAAGAGGATAATAAGATGCCATGATTCATCATCATCATCATGGATGATTGTAATGACTCGTTTCGTGGAACATTCCAATCATGACTCGTTTGGTCGGATGATGATTCCATCATTTTCTGCTGCTGATCTTGATCGGATCGTGAGGGATCTGTCCCATTGTTGAAAAGAGAGTTGTAGTAGTTATTCATGGAGGAGGAGAAGAATGAATGGTGGGATCGTGAAGGCTTGTGAGCGTGATCAATTCATGAATTTTTTAATATTGTTGATGTTTTTCGCTCAAGACACGAGGAAGGCTTGTGGGCAAAACCAATTTTTTTTGATTTGAGAATTCCCATCGTGCATGAGAGATTACAATAAATGATTTGTTTGGTTGGGTGCAATTCCTGTGTTTTTAAAGGGCTTTAGCGAGAGTGATTTTTACAACAAGGCATTAAATATCTTCCTAAAAAACGAATCAAAAAAATGTCTGAACCCAATATGGCACACCATCACCACCACCACCACCACCACCACGAAGAGGCTTCTCTTGTTTCGGAACTTGTTTCATCATCAACTCCACAACCATTTGTGGATGATATTGATGATGTCTTTGATAAAATCATTCATTTGGAACAAAACTTTTATGAGAACGGAAAAGAATTAGGAATGCAGCATGCTGCGCTTGTCGGAAAAGAAGAAGGTTTTAATTTCGGAGTTGCCTATGGAAGAAAAGTGGGAAAGGAGATTGGAGAAGTAATTGGATTGTGTATTTTCTTGAAAAATTATTTAAAGAATGATCATGAAGAACGAGTGATATCGGCTACAAAAGAGAAAATTATTTCCACAATTTTACAAATTGAGAATATGGTGAAGGACTTCCCGTGGGATAATCCTGCTACTAATTCTCTGAATTTAGAAGAATTTGTTGAAACTTTGAGAAATAAGAAGAAACTTTTAGAAATTAGGTCTAAACAAATTCTTGGAAAGGTGAATAATGTACAAAAACAAGATTATTCATTCTAATCATCTTCGACACCGGTTTGCATCAGCGGCACATCGTTAGGCGCATTGTAGTCAGTATATGGAGCATTACTTTCACCAGGCTCCTTTGTCAACAAATGGTATTCATAATCAATTGAACCAATTTTGACAAGTTTCTTCAAAGTTGATACTTGATAGGCAGAACAGGTCAGGAAAGGAATACAACAAAAGAATATTGCCAAAGTTGATAAAACAATGCTAATGATATAGGCATACTTTTTGACACTGTCATCATGTGTTTCTTGTGGAGTATTAATTTTTGGGTTTACATGAAGAGATCCGATTGTGAGGCCTGTTGGTGATTGTGGCAAATTGTCACATAATACTATTCTGTTACTCTTTGATACATACCAATTCTGTAGAATATCGTCAATCCCAAAGGTCACAAACCAAATTATTATGAATTTCATTGATTGTGTATTTGACAATACATTGTTCATGACGATTCAAATTATTTTCATCCACATATAATGTTGATTCAAGAATCCATATATGGATCGGAGTGTGATGATTTCCATTGATTTTCAATAAATTCAATCCATGTATACAAATCACAATCAACCACGAAGGAATATTTGAATATTCAACGATCGTTACATGATGATCCGCATGATAGTCGTTTTCAATAATAATTATAACAAAATAAAACAAATATAATATATACAAATATATAGACATTCATAAATTATTAATATATAATGATTGAGATCCTCATCGTACCAATAGCACTACTACCAACCTCAACACAGCCATCAAAATACTCAACGACACAAACACCACCCAAGCAACCGACAAGTGATATCTCCGCTTTACATTGGCCAACATGACACTACTCATCAATGCCAAAATTCCAGCAATCACCAACAAAAATCCAATGACATAATCCAATGCGATCGCTGGTATTGAAAAACTTCCTTCTAAAATGGTTGCAAAATAACCCGTACGAGTATGGGTGATGAGAAGAGAACTTGCAAAAACAATACAAGAAATTCCGAATATAATCATAATTATTCCACCAAACAAGCTCAAATTTCTCGAGAAGTGGACGCGTTGGGAGAGTTGAGCGGTGGATTGAGACGATTTCATTTTTTGGTGTTGATGGTGAGTCTATGTGTTGTTTCTTGAAATGTAATGATTGGTGACAGAAGAAGATTGAAGCTAGAGAGGTCAGTGACTACATTGCACAAGATTATTCTCTGACTTTCTGTGTTCAAGAATGAATCTCCAATTGATGATTTAGTGGATATTTTTCCTTTAGCATTTGTCCATAGGACCATCGGAGAGAAGATTTTGAATAACAGATATTTGTGGAATGATGATATCACCCTTGATCTCTCTGCCTTTACAAATTCCGATCGATTGTTTAAGTATTTAAACAGAATGAATCATAGCTTGTCTGATGAGAATTTATTTACCTATGCTGAACGAGAGAAATTGAAGATAACCATTGACTTTTTAGAAGCACTTGGATTAGCGGAGCACATTAAAAAGCTCAAAGTGAGTTGATGATGAAAGATGTATTCGGGAATTCAACGAATGGCTCTTGGATCGAGGTCTGTATGAAGACTTTCCCTTCAGTTACCAATTTAGTGTATTGCAGTAGCTTCAATAAGGGAAATAGATATGAACCTTTAAATATTTCGAACCAATCTGCTTGGAAAAATCTAGAACACGTCAGCGTGTATTTTGATAGTGATGCATTAATGTCATTTATCAAAACTCACAACACCATTTCTTCATTTTCATTTTCTCCCAAATTTTCAGATTCGAATTTTCTTAAAACACTCACAACAGATTTATCTCTTCTGAGAAACATACAAACAATTGATATTGACTTTAAATTCGATCTTGATCAAATTGAAAAGTCTCCTCTTTTACCTAAGTTTCAGTCTCTAATTGTTGATCCAGTGAAAGAATTGAAGGAAACGTTTATTGAAACAACTTTTACTCATTTGACAAAACTTGCTTTAGAAAATACACAAACTGGTTCACTAACTCTGAAAAATTTGACCTTTCCAAACCTGAAAGAACTAAATATTTCATATCCATCTAGCACAATGAACACAGTGCACGTTGAAAATCTGATCATTCCTAATTTAGAGAAAATAACTTTGCAATGTATATGCATGAATACAAGTGGGAAGAATCATTTTCCAAGCTTGAAGTCTCTCAATTTTTTCCATTGCAAATATGACAGCTCATTTTGGATCGATATACAGCGATCTCTTACAACTATTATCCTTTATGACATTGAATCTGGCGTCATTTCATCAAGTAATAGGCAAGTGATGATTGATGGACATCCATCTGTTGAAGTAGTTTTTTGCGGTAGCTTGGAGGACGTTTCAATTTTCGATTGTCCATCTCTGAAAAAAGTTTATATTGAAAGATGTAAGACTTGTACCCTTTGTAACAAACACTTTCACACTGTCTCAATCCCTAGGTGTGAGGAAAATGGACAAATTTTTATTGAGTGTGATTATTGTGGAAAATTAATTTTGCCAAAAGAAGCTGAGCTTGTCACAATTGATGTGAAAACAATTTCAGTTCTTAATTGCTACTATTCCTCTGACCTTTCACGCTTCATACCAAAAAATAGTCACAATATGACACTCGATTGGCTGTATATCTATTGTCAAGGTAAACACCCAGAGCAATTGCAGGCCATTTCTCTTCTTTCAAAAAGATTAATCATTTGAAATGCACTATTAGCGCAGAGCATACATATATCATTGAAAAACAGCAAGTGAAACCTACAGAAATCGACTCAAAGCCTTCCAAGTTATTACATTTGGCTACCAAAATCGTCACTCATTCACAAGAATTCGAATTAGGCTACACATTGAAAAAATATCAGAATTTACAATCTTTAACTTCACCCTCTCAATTGAACTTTTATAACCATAGCTACACCAGCTATTCATTGACTCACCTCGAGGTGAGTGCCTTAAAATTCTGCAAGTTGTCTTTCCCAATTTAAAGGCCCTCATTTTGACCAGTTCCAAAGAGATTGATATTAACATGGATCGATTTTCAAGTTCACTAGAAGAGTTATCAATAACCTCATCTACAGGTAAGAGTAATACAATTATATATGTATGATTGTTTCATACTCTCTATACTGCTGCATAGACGTGAAGATCATTGGACAAACTACAATGACCCATCTCAAGTTCTTTTACTTGGAGAATGTGAAAAACCTTCATATTTACATCAGACTATCAGCCCCTAAACTGAGAGAAGTGATTGTGCATTCGATTAGGAGCTTCGATTCCAATAATAATAGACGAGAACCCACTCTCCAGATCATCCATGCACCCAAACTTTTGTTCAATTATGTATCATTTGGATGTTCCTCTCAAAATACAACAACAACAACTCCTCCCGACTCCAACCTTCCACCAAACACAGCAATGGATGCACCTTACAATTATCGTTGCAGTGTTCTTCGATTTCCATTCGCACATATATAGTCTGTCCCTAAATTGTATGGATATCTAAGGAATTTCTGTATCCCTCTTGTCAACACAAGAATGAAGAATCTATAAGAAGCAAATTCAGAGATTATTTCAAAGCTCATCATCAATAGGAGATTAGGAAATCGATGGACATCAATGAGACACCATCTCTGCACTCCGAGACACATCGTAGTTATACTTGGAGATTATTATTATGAGAGATAATGACAGAGATAGAATTGAGTGGTAAGAAATTTGATGATCACCGTCATTCACTCTCAATCAACCAAAGACATCACGAGTCATCGATGATTGTAGATGCATATTCAATGAATCAATTTTCAACTCCTAATTCCTGCGGGACCTATTATTATGCGGGACAGTATCAAACAAAAAGCAACCGTTATTGAGAGGGAAGAACTTTACAGTTTTTTTATTTTCAGCGAGATTTTGAACAACAACAACGGCGGAACAGCAACACGACCAGTTCGCGAAAAGCAAAATATCTTCCAATATACCATCCATTATTCAAAACAACATTTCCCTTCTTGATATCAAATGGGCGCGATCGTTAGCAAACCACCACACCACCAACAGGATTCCAAGAGCTCTTCATCAAAGGCTTCCACTCATCATAATGATTCAAGGGCTATCTCCAAGATTACCGACAAGGGGTTGTTTTCGAATAGTAATAATAATAATTCGAGAACTCCCTCTTCGACTGGAAACGACCATGCAAAGTCATCAACTAAGCAATCATCGCTCACCGTAGACACAACACATAATTCCTCTCAAAAACAACATATTCCTCTTTCATCAAGTGTTTCACCAATTACCTCATCTTCCGATTTATCATTCGGTGCCAATAACCAAGCTCAACAGGCAGCAACATCCAATGTAGACTTCAATGAATATGAGGATAAAGAATATGAAATGGTTGAGGAATACGATGATGGAGAAAATGTCGAACCGGCCTTCCAAATGGATGAACATATTGCTGCATGTATGTGCCCAGTGATTGTAGTGGATACAAAGACCAACATCCACTCCATGAACAGTTTTGGTGAAGAGTTGTTTGGAAAGACAGCTAGTGATCTGGACGGAAAGAATGTTTGTGTTCTACTGAGTGAAAATAGTGCAGGAGAGTTACAGAAGCGAATTAGAGATTATTTGCAACTCCGAACAAAGTCCTTACTTGCGGAGAAGATCATTTATGACATTAAGGAACCAAAAACACCAATTCGAAAGATTGGCATTAGAATTACTGGTAAGTTACTTGAAAGGAGTTGAATTTCCAATCATTCCGATTTATTTTGACCACTTCAGAAATGATCAAAAGTGGAGTTCCTTATTTCATTTGCTATCTGCAACCAGAAGGATTGCAGAAAGGCAGTAACTTTGAAGACATTCTTAAGAATCAAAATACAACTGTGCAAGAAGTTGATTCAGATGATGACGGAGAAGGAAGTGTTGCCAGCTTAGACAAAAAAAGTAGACCTGGAGAAGACAACCCAGCGGAGGACGGCAATGAAGGTGGAGAGGTACAACAACAGTCATTTCAATTTCACAGCGCTGTGACACAGCTTTCAACCATACCTATTGTTGCGATTGATTGTTTATCAATTGTTCAGACGTGGAATCCAGCCGCCGAGCATGTTTTTGGTATTAAGGCGAGCGAAATTCTTGGAAGCTCGCTAACAATCATTATGCCTGAAGAAATTGCTATAAACCACAACAGCTATGTCGAGAGATATGTAAGAACAGGTATTAAGAGAGTAGTTGACAAAATAAGAGTAGTCAATGGAAAGCGGAAAACTGGTGAAATTTTCCCTGTTGAGCTAAAAATCACTGAAATTAAGGACGATAAGGATCAACGAGTATTTCTAGGATTTGCGAGAGACATGACAGCCGTCATAACTAAAACGGAACAATACAAACACTTGGCAGAACAAATTTTCCCTGCATCCATAGCAACACGAGTGGTTAACGGTGATTTAATTCATGATTTCCATGACAATGTGACGATCATGTTTAGCGATATTGAAAACTTTAACCAGCTATCGCTTGAGATTTCTCCCAAAAATTTGATCAGCTTTTTAGATTCCATCTTTGAAAAATTTGATCAAATTATTCAAAAGTACTCTCTTGAGAAAATCAAAACTATTGGAGATAACTGTAAGTATTATCCTTAAATATTGGTATTATAACACATAGAAGACATGTTGGCAAGTGGCCTTCCTGAGAAGAATGACAAGTTTGCCGAAAACGCCGTTCGTGGGGCATTTGAAATGGCAAAAATCGTTGCAGAAATGAACGCAACCTCTAAATTTAAGGTCAACATTAGAGTTGGTTTAAGTACTGGTGAGGTTGTTGCTGGTATTGTTGGTAAAAAGAAGCCGGCTTATGATGTTTGGGGAGCGACTGTTAACTTTGCAAGCAGAATGCAATCGACCAGTTATACTAATCACATTCAGATTTGCACAAAGACTTATCAACTTCTGCCAATAGATTTGGCCCATCTATTTGTGCCAAGAAGCGATGTAAAGGTAAAAGGAATCGGTAGTTGCGACACGTTTATTTCTGAGAAGTAAGTTTTTCATCAATTGTATAACATGTTGATATGAACAGCCTCATAGACCTGTTGTGTAAATTTAAGTAATAAGCCAAAGCCCGAAAAGATTTATCGATTAAGGATGTGACACAAATAAGTGCAAGCATACCTGAATGTGCTGACATTTTAATAACTATTAAACAAAGGTTGCACGCATGGAAATATCCATCCCCATTTCAATAATTTTAATAAAAAATGTCTCAACAACCCAATCTCCACCTTGCACACACAATGACGATAGAAACTTCAAATAATAGTGGCAGCACCAAAATGTCCAACACCACGGAACATAATAACAATATCAATAACACCAACAATACTCCAACACCTATTGAACCGTCACTTGACTCTGTCATTATTCCATCAACTTTTACTTCATCATCAGCTCCTCCAAATCCGATTGGAAGAGATGAAATTCTCATTCCTCCCATCAACTTTTGCATGGTTATGCCCGGCGTCTATCGATCCGGCTATCCAAACAAAAAGAACTTTCCCTTCCTGAAGAAGATTGGACTCAAATCCATTTGTTATCTATGTCCCGAGCAATACGCACACAATAATATGGAATTTTGTAGAAAGAACGGTATTCGTATCTTTCAATTCGGAATCGAAGGAAACAAAGAGCCTTTTGTTCATATACCAGAAGAAGCAATCCGAAAAGCCATCAAGGAACTGCTCAATCCAAAGAATCATCCCATCCTCATCCATTGCAACAAGGGAAAGCACAGAACTGGAGTACTCGTTGGTTGTTTGAGAAAAACACAAAACTGGTCCTTGACGAGCATTTTCGATGAATACCGAAGATTTGCTGGTAGCAAGGTGAGAATGTTGGATCAACAATTTATTGAATTGTACAGCAATGTGAGTCAAATTTAAAAAGTTCCATCACAACAGGACATAATCCAACCAAATTTGAGACCATCCTATCCTTCTCTGAGAGAAAAAGCCTTGTGGATTCTTGTTCACAAGTGATGATGATGAGTACAATGTTGTTGTTGTTCATGTGGGTGGGTGTCTGTCTGTATGGCCATTCAAAGATTCAGAAAGGCTTGTTTTGCAAACACGCACTCGATCAGCATACAAAAAAAATAAATCGAGAATACAAGAAAGCGAATTTATCATCATACTACCCAAACAGCACCACACGGCCGTTGTTGTTGATAACATTCGCTCAGCTGATTATTATCAAGTATCATCCTATTAAATCCAATCATCATCAACCTTGTTGTTCGCCATTGCACAACAGAGAGACCTACGTAAAATAACGTTATTGATTATTGGATCATAGACAAATCATCATAATAATTTTCCGTCTATACACTCAATACTTCTGTCAAGAGAAATTGAGTGTATTGAATAACGCTACACATATCCGTCATTGCAATTACATCTAGGAACTTGGAGGAAAACAACATCATGATGAATCCTCAACTGACTAACCAAACAGGTTTGAATTTAGCATCATCATCGGCTGCTGATTCCACTTCTGATAACAACAACATTCATGAACAAACATCACATTCCGGTAAAACTAATGATGAAGGAACTATACCGATCGATGTTGCATCCAACAGCACTGATATTGATGGTGCAAATTCACAACCATGGATGAACATACCTCAACAATTTCTTGGTGGTGGGTACAACCTTCCACCTAACATGACACCACAACAATATTATTATATGACGCTGTGGTTAATGCAACAACAACAACAAAATGGAAACAAAACCGATAATAATGATCCACAAAAGAAGAACGATCAGCTTCTTGGTTCGTCATCGGGCTCCAGTAACGAACAAGATAAATCATCAAGTGATCCATCCAATGTATTTCCTGTAATGTATCCACCATATTTTCCATTTGGCACTAACAATGGCTCTTCACAAATCCCTTCTCTCAACGTGGTAACAACTCCAACAGAAGATAATTCAATTGCAACGCCTGAAACTACAACACAAGAAAAGAAAACTAAAAGAAGAGGAAAGAACACTTCCTCGTCTACGACTACAGCAAAATCAACCAAAAAACGAAAAAACGCGTCTAAAGAGCCATCTAGTTCATCTGCCACTGTAGAAGAAAATGCTAACCCTACAACAGCACCTGATACGCCAAAGAAAAAGAAGAAAAAAGAAGCTGCGTCAAGTAGCACATCTGGAAGAGGAGCTCGTGGACTTCGTCACTTCAGTATGAAGGTCTGTGAACTTGTTCAAAGAAAAAAAACAACAACAATTAATGACGTTGCTGATGAGCTAGTACAAGCAGAACTGCAGGGAGATGATAGTAAATCTGACGATAAGAATATTAGACGACGTGTGTACGATGCTTTGAACGTATTGATGGCCCTCAATATTATTTCTAAGGATAAAAAAGAGATTAAGTGGAAAGGGTTGCCTGTAGATTCTCAAAAAGAATGTGAAGCACTGAATCAAATCAAATTACAACGTATGGAAATAATAGCAAAGAAAACACAGCAATTACAAGAACTTGAAAAGCAACACCGATCACTCTCTAATTTATGCCAACGAAACTCAAGCTCGAATTATTTGGAATCAAAGAGGATTGAATTACCTTTTATTATTGTCCACACATCAAAGTCCACACAAATAGAATGTGAAATGGATGAAAACAGATCCGAGGTGTTTTTCAATTTCGACAAGCCATTTGAAATCCACGACGATAACGAGATTTTATATCGACTAGGTTTAGACCAGTCTTCGAATTCAATGATGACTGAGTCAGGAGCTGCAACAGCATCTTCATCGGCAGCTGCTGATGATGACTTTTTTTCAGAGCCTCAAGCATCTAATAATAATACATCCCCTTCCAAATCTCTCCCTACTTCATCCAACACAACAGACAACAAAGAAATGGATACTCAATAATTTGATTTATTCTTTTTTCTAATAAACAGATCTTTCAACCTGTATTTTCAAGTTGAAAATTTATTGTACACCTTTCAAAATTTGCCTGATTTGCATTAGAGCTTGCTCTTGTTCTAGGAATTTTGAATGCTTGGCTTGCTCTTGCAGGAGTGATGATTCTTTGGACCTTATCTCTTGCTCTAATCGATCAATAATATTTCTTTGCAGCTCCAACTTTTGCATCAAATCTTTGCTTAAACGCTTTTCTTCCTCATAGGTTGACATTACTGAAGGAGAATTTATCTCTTTTCGATTTTCTTCATCGTCAGTAAAACTAAATCTTTTAAAAACGTTATTTTCGTTCCTAATAAAGAAGGAACAATTAATAGACTCTTCATCTGAAAACAACAGCCAATCATTCAGATATTCAGTAAAGCCAATTCCTGTCACGAGTAAAAAGCTCGCACCATGGAGAATTCCACTTGTTGTTTGAGTTGAAGGGTCGAAAATAACATGAATGACGTCTTCCATTTCATGTTCTACAATAGAAAAAATCGCAATCGAAAACCCTTTTTGCTGTAAGATGGTAAGTACGTTTTTCTTTCTTTTCATTTGAATTTTTTCAATGACCAAACTTGTCTTCTCAATTTCTTTTGTCTCTAAATTTATGGAATAACATTCTGTCAACGCTTGTTTAAATCTTTCATTTAGCTGAAGAAGACCATCAACATTTAAATATCCTTGTTGAGGATCTTGAAGAGATCCAATTTTTAAGACTTCATCTATCACTGAAGATGAGATTTTCTTTAAAGACATAACATCGATCACTTTGTGAAGTAATTGAATTCCCATTTCTAAGCATATCGATAAAGCTGAAGTTTTCATGCCATATGTCAAATAATCTTTCTCTGAAGAAATAATAATACATCGATCAATGAACTTGGCATTTCTGTTCATTGCAGAAAATTCAAGTCTTTTGAATGATATTGGTGTTCGCTTCGAAAGAGGTTCTTCTTTCTTTTTAAGCGGAGAAACGAAATTCTTGTTATCATAAAACGCTTGGCTTGAATAAGGTGGGATGGAAGTTGAAGGAGACTGGGAATTTGCTGTTGAAACTGTTCGAGTGCTGCTTGGTGTGCTTGCTCTGAAATTGCTACCAGAGCTTTGGAATGACGGTGTTGAGGTTAAGCTTTTCGAAGAGTATTTTTCCTTTGGTGACGATAAATAATGTTGATAGGGTGGAGTTTTAGTTATGGACGATCGCACAGGAGAAGACACTGAGGCTGACGAATAATTTTGAGAAAATGATTGGGAAGACCTAATATTCGATGATGCATCTCCAGAGCTCATTGGTGATGCTCTAGAATAATGAGTCGAATTGTTCTTTTCCATCGGATTTGAATCCTTCGAATATTTGGTGATATCAAATTCACCTCTGCTCATCGAAAGATAAGAAGGAGGATTACCCATTCGTGTCATGTTTCGTTCATTCATTTTTTCTGTTGTTTTTTTGTAAATAATTTGGAGGGAACAGTAATCAAGTGCTCAATCGATCCTTTTTACTCAGATGCTTCTTTCTTTGGTTCTCCAAGATCAATTTCACTCTCTTCAGTAAAACTTTCACTGTCCTTATTTTCTTGTTTTGGTTCTTCTTGTGGCAAGCTTTGCTCCTGCACTTTAGGTTTGTTTTCTTTTGACTCTTGTAATTTGGTGGACTCATTGGTCTGCTCTGTGGGCTTCTCTTCTTCTGCTTGTTCGTGACTTTCTAGATTGGTAGTGACCTGATTGTGGTGATGTTGGTTAGGGTCATCTTTAGATTTTTCTTCGTTGTGGTCTTGCTTTTCTTGATTTTCTGCCTGTTTTTCACCATTATGGGGATCTTCTTTCTTTTCTGGAGAAGCGTTTGCATGATTTGGATCCTCCTTATTTTCTTCCTTTTTCTCGTCCTCAACAAGCTTGTTTTGGGATCCAGATTTAGAGGCTGCCATGGCAGATCTAGGAGACACATCTGAGGCTCTTTTTCCAAATAGTTTTACAATTGTCTTGACTTTTGTTTGAACTCTGGTCTTTGTTTCTGCTGTTTTTTGAGCCGCTTGTGTTCTTTTTTCTGCTTCTTCTTGAATTTTTTTCTTTGCTTCAGGAAACCTTGAAAGCACATTGTCGAAATCTTCTTTGTGCAAAATAAACACTTCACAAATTTCTTTGGTTCTAACAGAGGCCATGCGTTTTGAATTAAGGATTAATGCAACTTCCCCAAAAAATGATCCAGACGATAAAGAAGCCCAAATTTGACCCTGTGGACCAACAATTTCGACACTTCCCTTTCCGAGGAAAAACATCTCTCTTCCAACTTCTCCAAACTGCATGACATAATAGTTCTCCAATATAATAGTATGCTCAAGGTAAAGACAAATTTCTTGAATAAATAATTCTTCCATGTCTTTCATAAAAGGCACTTTCTTGACCAAGTCTTTGTGCAGATACTGAGATACTTTTCGTTTTGTCTCTAACTCCAAATCTTCCAAAATATCATCATCTGATTTGAGCTCTCTGTTGGCCCTTTGGATGATTCCCAAAAAATTTCTTGAATCAGATATTAATTTTGTATTAACTTTTCTGAACTTTAAGTAGCCAGTAATGTCATCAAGTTTTCTATTAAACTTTGAACTCTTTTGGTTCATCTGGTTCACTAGATTGGACACGACTCCGACTACGGAGGCAATAAACATGACACCAAAAACAGCATTCATAATGGAGTAAAGGGCTCCCAATTCATCTTGAGGTACGTCAGTTCCGAACCCGACAAGGAACAAAGTCGCAAAATACATGCTTCCAATGTATTGTCTTATTCTTGTTAAAAAGTTGTATGAACCAAGCTCTCCAGAGAGATTCATAAATATTAAATATTTAAGGTTGTCAGTGGCATCCGTTTGGATAAGAATATTACCATATTCGTGGTATTGATTAAGGTTTAAAAAGTATAAACAAGAGAACCAATGAATGATAATCGTCAAGTAGATAACAGACTTGACAATTCGCAAATAAATAGGATTCACTCTACTCTTTTGTTCCACTGTCTTGTAGTAATCACCAAATCTCAATGTCAAAATCGGAATTATTCGAAACAATCTGAAGTACGGATAGTTCAGTAAAAACCAGTCGTAAAGAGTACAGTAAGAAAGAATGTCAATTAGTAATAGTTTCCAATAAGAGAGAAGCCTTCCAATTCTTGATTTCTCTGGGTCGGCTCCAACCATTTTAACCTCAAGTAGGTGAGCAAAAATGTTCAAAATACCCAATAGATCCATCAGTATATTTACAATTAAAAAGCCAAAGTGAATATACTCCTCAAAACATGCTAAATAGGTAGCTACCACGGCATTATAAAGAATAACAAAGGACATGACAAAATCCATCACTATCCTTGGCGTACTCTCGGGATAAATATAAAAAGAAATCACTTTTTCTTTTACTTGTTTCCATAGCGAAGGTTGTTCCTTCTGTATTTCTGGATCATCAACTACCTTGATGGCAATTTGACTTGCACCAGCCTGTTCCATCGACGATGCCAATCCTACTCGGTTTCGGAGTCGTATGGAACTATTGAGCAATCGTTTCATTTTAATTTTTTCTTTTGAATTTGTAAAGTGTTCGGGCGGGAAACTTCAAGCAGGGTTCTAACTGCAACCACAGACAGACAACACCAACCCATCCACGCACTTCATTCCATTTTCTCAACAACGTTCCTCTTTATGTTCCTCTGAATACTCCACATGATGGAATTGCGTTTGGATTCAGTTTCACTCCTTGCGCTCGTATAAGAACTTATGAAATTTTCCAACAAACCATTTCGCTGAGAATTGCGCAGAGAATCCAAAAATATTCTCATCAGCAAGCAAAAATAATGAACAACAAACACATTCAGGCCGCAAGTCACTACAATTTTCACTATGGAGAGACAACAACCGACTTGCCTGCTGGCGATTTCTCATTGGGATTATTTGATGATTTTTTATCGTCGTTGTCTGACTCTCCTTTACATACGGTCGTAACGTCTGAAGAAATTTCGGTTACAAATACGTCCGGCATGCCTTCGAATCATCATCATCATCACGTGGATTTATTGGCAGACCCAGCCGGTGCGGCCAGCATGCTGTTGGCTGAAAATCAGTTACTACCATCATCGATAACGGCACCCATACATGATCAAGGAGCAACACAGAATGTATCGAATTTGATTGTAACTCGTGTTTCTCTTGCTACAAATAATCAGAAATATCCATCAGGAATAATTCAAGATAATGTTTACATGTTTTTCGGGTCTCATGGTGCCTCTGATACCTATAAATTAGAAGTACAAGTCACGCCATTTGTTGATCAACTTATACAGTCGAAACAAACAAAACTCAATGTTCAAGTGAAGAGAGAAACAAGCGGTGAAATTTTGAAAAAAGCTAAATGGACACTTAGTTCAGAGAATAGAAAAGAAGAATGTGTATATGTTGTTTCAAACAACAATTTTCCCAAGACACGACGTGGAAAAGGTACCAACGAAGCATGTCTCTTCTGTTTTGAACTCGAAAATTGTCCACAAATTCCAGAGCAACAATTCTCAGCATTTCGATTCCAATTTTTCTCCAAACTACCAGTCTCAGCATCTTCAGAGTCCTATACGATACCTTCCTCAGCAACACAATCTATTTCTCAAGCCACCCCTCATCATTCCAATAATAACCATGGCAACCCTGCTGCTAACTTTTCATCATCAAATCTTGCTTCCATCCCTTCATCATCTACTTCTTCAATGATGTCTCCTCCTTCTCTTCTTATTCAGAACAAGAACAATGTGAGTCCAACCGACCATCAATCTTCATCCCTGTTACTGCAGCCAACAGCTAGCAATTCTCACTTGAGCCATTCTGCTCAACAACCTCTCAAGCTCAACACACCAAGCTCAAGTAGACCTGTACATGAAGGAGACTATCAATCTTCAGGAAAGAAGAGAAAGAAAATTGAAATTTTCGAGCCTAAGTTGCACTCTGTCAATCCAATGTATGGAACGGTTGGCACAACTGTTGTACTATTAGGTCAATTCAACGTATTGAGTGAAAAATCTGTCAAAGTATTGTTTGACTCAGTTGTGGTTGACCATCCTCATTCTATAACTCCAAACTGTATTGTGTGTATGGCTCCAGATCATGAAGAAGGAAACTCTTACGTACACGTTGTTGAAGAGTTTGAGGATTTCCAAATGAGAACAGAACCTAAAATCTTTAGGTACATCTCAGAGGGCTTCCAGCAGGGTATTAATCAACTTGTTTTCAACAGTGGACCCTATCTCTCTCCTTCTTCATATTCTCCAGGAAACACAGCTCACACAGACTCGTCTTCATCGTCTTCATACAGTTCTGGACAGACTTACTTTTATGACAGTCTCAGACAAAACAGTCTTCATAGGGCTGCATTCGATGGTGACATTAGGTCTGTGGTTTCTCTTTTAGAAGATCCTTGCTGTGATCCTCTCGAGCTCGACAACTTTAAACGAAACGCTTTCCACCTGGCATGTGCTAAAGGTCATTTAGCAATCGTTCAAGCTTTGTGGAATCATGTTGTAGATCTTCTCTATGATGATCAAGATGAAGATGTTTTGGCCTCAACGTTACTTTATCAAAAAGATAGCTTCGGTATGACAGCTTTAGATCTTGCCACTAAGTTATTGAACTTTTCTGAACATCCTGTTATTTTCTTCCTCAAAGACAAAATGGTGAGCTATAGAGATTTATTGAAAAGACCAAGCTTTGGGGATTTAGTGTCCGTTGAAAAGGAAATTCAGGAAAAGAAGATGAATCAACTCTTAGAATTTTTCCCTACTCTTTCTGAAGATGTTGTACTAGAAACTCTTGAACGATGCGATTGGAATGAGACGGACGCAGCTGCTGTGATTCTTTGTGAACAATTTGAGAACAATATTTATTCGAAATCCTCGATGTCATCCAAAGAGGTGTTTATGGTCATTGAAAAACAAAAGGCTGTCAACCAGATTATACATTCATGAGCGTTTCTCCATTTTCATCTGGCTTGGGATTACTAGCAAACAGATTGTTTAATCGATTCAAATTCTTTAATCCAGAAGAATACTTTAGCGATTTTGAAAACGAAATCAAACGAAAATGTTCGCGAAAGATTCACAAGATTGAAAACTGTGTTCAGCCAGAGCTTCAACTTCGATTCAGTCAATATATTAACCAAGAAGAGAATCCATTAATTTTCATGACTTTCCATGGTACGAGTGAGCATAATATTAACAGTATAAAGAAGCATGGATTGTTGGTGCCTGGTAAGGGAAATGATATTAGGCCTGTCAATGGAAGTGAATATGGACTTGGTATTTATTTATCGTTTTCTGGAACAGCATCCATCGAATACTGCTATGGTGGATCTAAGATGTTTGTTTGTGCTGTTTGTGTCAGAGACAAGATTGTCATTAGTGAAGATGGATCTGTTTTAGTTGTCTTTGACGAGAGATGCGTCTTACCATGTTGGCTGATTACTTTTGAAAATCGTGCCGAGAACGTCTACTCTCCTGTGAATTTGAATGTAAACAATAACCTCTTGAAACAAATATAATTGTATTAAGGATATAATTTCGAATCAATTTTTATCTTTATCTCTCGGTCTCTCCAATTGAGGTCGAGCTTACAAAGTCCTTATCGCCACAAATCAAACTCGGCCAATTTCGGAAAATTTCCTCCTTTTTACCGTCCAAACGTCCTTGCAGTTCCCAACCGTCACTCAACACAAAACAAAATTCCTCACAATCACCAAAGAGAGTCTGATCTCACAAAATTATCGAGCCTTCTTAGCAACAACGCTGCCATCATCATGAACAGCCCCTCTGGTAAAGGAAGCCATCCAAGCTCACACCACTACCGAATGGAATACAACCCATGTCTGGGCCTTGATGAACGAGTATTTGAAGAAACACGCCCAAGAACAAACAGCAATGCCAATCATAATGCCGCACATAACAGCTTTTTAAAGAACTTGCTGTGGAAGGTGAATCAATGGTAGTCTAGAAAATCTCGTTGCGCACTAGATTGATGTATAATTTTATTAGTATTATTATTATTTGATTTTAATTCGTTCGTTGAATATAGATCAACGATCGTGTTCCTTCTGTGTTTTATTCTCCTCCTTGCAACTGTACCGATGTTTTGGTCAAACGGTTGTACTTTTTACTTTGTCGGATACACACCAGTAGAGGAGAGCCGCTGTTGAACCGCTTCTTCTCTCGTTTGTTATTTTATCTTGATCAGAAGACCACCAC